CTGTCATAAGCAACATTCAGGTTCAAGATCTTCAGACATCGGTTCATGCAGACGTAGTCAGAAGTCTGACAAAGCATGTGGCACATGCAGGCGCAGCTGGTAGCGCAGCTGTTGTGCTGCATCCCACTGACATCTGTTGCATCAGTCATGTCCTGGCTGACATCCGCCATGCCGCAGAGCGAACAAGAAGACCTCTTGCTCCAGGTACCTCTCCGGTGACATCAATCAAGCTGCTTGACCCACCGCATCTTGCCGGAATATTATGGCACAGTTGTTGTCTTGCGGCACCTTGTGATGGCTCTCCTTCATGTGAGTCTGCAACTCTACTGATGCACCTGAAGAGCAATGCATGCGTGCACATGCTAGTTACTAAGGTATACTGCTGCGGCGCGCAGGTGCGGCAGGTTGTGCCGGACGACCTGCTGCTGCAGCTGCTGGTGGCATGGCTCTCTCCAGGGCTGCTCACCCAGGAGGCACCCCTGGCGCTGCCAGGCGTGGTGGCAGTGGATGTCAAGAATGTGCGGCCCTGGAAGGATGGCTATGAAGACGCGCCACCCGAGTGCTGCCGTGAGCTGCTGGGCTTGGATCCATGCGGCTGCCCCCTGGCCAGGGCCAGGACCGATCCCAAGGCTGACAGCGCTGACCTGCTGCCAGTCAGCGTCAATGATTCCGCAGCCAGAGCCCCGCTGCAGGTGTGGTGTCCTCAAGAGATATGAGCATGAATTGAAGCTTGTATTCGCTTTTTCGTGCCACCTGTAGCCAACAGCAGAAAAAATCTTTACTGAGTGCTTTTTGATGGTTTCTAGTGGAATTGATAAGGTGCGGTGATACAGTCATGCAGAGTCAGCGTGTGGTGGGAAGGGTGCATGCTGTAAAGGGGGATGCTGTTGAGTGGATTTTGCAGCTTGATATATTTGCCTGTACACACGCAGCACATCGCGCATGTCCACGCGGCGATCCGCTCGGCGCTGGACGCGTTTGCGGCGGAGGCGGCCGCGCTGTCGTCGTGCGCCGCGCTCACCCCTGACGCGCTGAGCGTGCTGGCCGAGCGCCTGCGCTTCCTGCGAGCTGTGTGCACCTACCACTCCGCCTCCGAGGACGATGTCGTCTTCCCTGCCGTCAGGTAACACTCATGCCACACTCATGCCATCCTGATAGAGATGGTGAGGCATACCTCTCCAACGCACCTAGCGACCTGGCTGGAAGTGCGTCTTTTGTTCATCCATGCATGCTATCCTCTGATTGTAATGCTGAGGTCTGTTCTTTTGTCAGATGAATCTTGCTTCAGGGTCTTAGGATGAGCTTTTCTCTGGCCATTCAGCCTGGCCAACGCAGTCTCTGCCAGTCCAGCGTCTAGCATGTGTAAGAGCTTCTGTTTTCCCCTAAGGCAGCGGTGTGCATGGACATATCTGTGTGGATCGCGCTGTGCAGGCAGCTGAGCAAGGCGGATGAGGACCAGTGCCAGGAGTGCCAGGCGGAGCACGAGAACGAGGGCCTGCTGCTGGAGGACATCGGCCGCCTGCTCGGCGACGTGCGAGCCTCCGCCAGGTGCGCAGCGCTGCGCTTCGAAGGCAATTGTCAGGGGATTCTAGTTTGCTTAACGCCGTTGCACTCCACCATGCCGTCCCTGGTTGGCATTCTCCCTCATTGTGGAGCTTATACAATGGAACTGTGATGACGACAAAGTGAGGTCACCAGCAATGCGATGCTGAGGTCACCCAGGTCGTTTTGCATCCATGCTCCTGATGCCTCATGCCCTCCCAATCCTGTTGATTCTGTAAGCATTCTGGCGCCTCTCAACATATAAAATCCTGGTACAAGCTGGGGACGGAGAGAGGGTTTGGGTAGCGACCAGGGACAAAGTAAGGGGCTGGCATGAGGGTCGTGTGCATTGAAACACTGCGCCCTGGATGGCCTTTCAGGCAGACCTTAGGTGATTTGCATTCGGACGGGTAAACCGACACAACCACGCCAATTCGATCAGCTTCTTGCAAGAGCTCTGAGGATCTTGTGCTAATGTTGAGCCACTGCACCGATGAACAGCATCATACAAGCAGCAGTTCATTGCGTCGGCATGTGCAAGCACCCGCTTAACGGCAATATTGACGAGATCCTCCTGGCACAGTTTCTGCCAGCGAGGCAAGCTCCCGCACGTGCAGAACAGTATCTATTGGGCAGGGTGTTCTTAGTTGGGGTCATATTTGGTACCCCTTGTATTCGACTGCGCAAGGGGGTCGCCATTCTCAAATTTGCACCGTTCTGATCAGTCCGCCCAATCTAGTAGAGCACCTGAGGAGATTGGCCTTATTGCGTTATGGCCTGTCCAAATGTTAACAGGGCTGCAAGAACAGGGGCTTGGGAGCTCGAAACAACGGCAAATTTACAGACAGATGAAGACTAGAGATCAGGGTTGTTCCAGCAAGTGTCTATGTGCGGACCACTGTAGTTGCATATCTTCTGCGCGCAGGCGGGGCGCGCAGGAGGTCGGGGGTCTGGTGGCGGACCTGTGCAGCGCGGTGGACGCGACGCGGACGGCAATCAAGTGCCACATGGAGCGCGAGGAGGCGGACGTGCTGCCCCTGCTGCAGGAGCGGCTGTGCGCCAGCCAGCAGCGCGACATGGTCTGGCGCACCCTCTGCGCCATGCCCCTCCGCCTCCTCGAACGCGTCCTCCCCTGGCTCGCTGGTACGCGCTGATCCGCTGACTTTTGCAGCTTGCTCCGAGGATTGTTAGTAGCAGCTGTTGACATAAGCCGTTAAGGAGTCTTTGGAAGAGTCCTAATTTGCCTCCCACCTTCAGCCGAGCCGTTTTCAGGCAATTTCCTGTCAGACCACACCATTCTGGCGTCACAACATAAGGACCCTCTTTGATACTCAGAAGAAGCCTTACATGTGATGGATTTGATAATCATGTGGGAGGTTGACTCATTGTATGAGCTAACTGAGCCAGGCATATAGTTTTATGGTCATGAGCCTGTCTTTACCTCAGGGAAATCCGAGAGGCAATTCCATTCTGCAATCTCCACTCCATGTGGGTCTGATATTTGGACCGTCAGATCCATGCTCGAGCGAAGACTGCTGAGAAGAAGCGCACAGGCTCATAGTTCCAATCGTCTGATTCTGTGTCCGGCCGTGCAGGCAAGCTGACAGAGGAGGAGGCGGGCGCCATGCTGCTGGACTGGAAGCTGGCAGCGCCCGCCGACGACGGCGCCCTGGTTGGCCTGCTCTCCCGCTGGGCAGTGCGCGGACGCCAGGAGTCTCCCGAGCCACAGGTATCGTCATACTCATCTGCCAACAACTGCACCTTTGACGTCCTTATGGCTGCCTACGTCCGCTGAAGTGTTGTTGAGAAAAAGCTGCCAATCAAGTGGGCTGGAAAACAGTGATTTTTTTGTCAGCAACAGGCAAATGGGAAGAGTGTTTCATCCTTCTGCTTCCATCTGATTGGTAGCGTTGCGATGACACCCAAACGGACATGGCAAGCAGCATTCGGGTGGTGTAGTGGCTTTGATTAGCCATGCAACATGAGAAGATAATGTAATGCATGCTGTCCAGGATCAAGACAACCCGCAGCATTACAGCAACAGCACATGCGGGGTGCACATCATCCCGGAGCCTGAGGTGGCAGCAGAGCAGCCGCCCTCCAAGCGGCTCAAGCGCAGTTCTGGGCAACCTACGGCTGAGGAAAATGCCAAGAAAGAGCGCCGCGACAGCGGCGCGCTAGCCTCGAGCTCCGGGCAGGCTCCGGGCAGGGCCATTGGGCAGTCGCGCACAAATCCCATCGACCACATCTTCCAATTTCACAAAGTGAGCACAATGAAGACTCACCTTCAATGTGTGCCCATGCTGTCGTGAGAGCAGTATGTGTGCAAATTGCTTCCACTGGTGGTACTTCCTCGCATGACGCTGAGTTTACATTGAAGTGCAGCCATACAACTCTGCGAAATCTGCTGCACAGCCAGCAGACCGCTAAACATAGGCCACTCTACGCCTTATTACTCTTAGATTTGCAGACTTCCACTGATGTGCAGTCTTCTTGCAGTGCGGTCGTACACGCCTTATTTAAGAGTAATATTTGCACTGCAGGCGCTGCGGAGGGACCTGCATGCACTGGAGGAAGATGCGCGCGCATTTGCAGCAGACTTGGAAGATGCCGAGGAGTGGATCCCGGGACAGCCCGCCCTGCAGCAGCTGGAGGGCCGCTTCAGATGCCTCGCCGGAATGTACAAAGCCCACTCCCAGGTGAGGCGCTGCTGCCTGCACACCTGGCAGACCTCTTTTCGCCGGTGGCATCAACGCCTATCTGAGAAGTCTCTGGGGCTCTAAGGGTGCAAGCAACTTCTCACTGCCGTCTCTCCGTCTAGCATCCAGCCTCATTATTTTTCCATGGATTTGAGCAAAAGAGATGCCCATATCAAGGCAGAGCCAGCGCCAGAGCTAAGAGGAAGAGCCGCCTCGTTCTGGACTGCAGCCATGTTTCTGCATGTGCGTACATGCCTGGAGGGCAGAGCGCTGAAGGGTGTGTGTGCTTTTGAAGTCGGAGGATGAGATTATCTTCCCAGCACTGGAGGGGAAGGAGGCGCTGTCCAATGTGAGCCATGCCTACACGCTGGACCACCAGCAGGAGGCCGAGCTCTTCAGGGGCCTCGACGAGGTGAGAGCTTGCATTTGCTTTATGTATTTACCCTGTTTGGCCCTTTTCAGATCCCAGGACAGCACACAATCATTCAGGTAGATGACATTTCAGAAACGTTCCCAATGAGCATCTCTTTCAGCGTTAAAAGGCCTTCTGCAGACACTCGCACAGGGAGGCCTCGTGAATGCACAGCTCAACAGCATTCAACAAAAATAATTTGAGGATGAGCTCTCTCTGAAGAGTGTCTTTTCCATCAATGTGCTTTCTGCAAAGGCACTATTGCAAGTTCAGAGACCACGGGCGTTATTCTGCAGGCTTTGGCGGCGATTCGGGCCTCAACATCGCTGGCAGATGCGGCGCAGCACGCGACGCGGCTGCAGCGGCTGACGGCGGCGACGCGCGCATCGCTCGAGCAGCATGTGCGCGCGGAGGAGCAGGAGCTGTGGCCGCTCTTTGCGGAGTACTTCACCGAGGCTGAGCAGGATCACCTCGTCGGCGTGATCATCGGCCGCACCGGCGCCGAAGTCCTGCAGGCCATGCTGCCCTGGGTCACCGGTGCGCTAGTGACCTCATTCTCCACTGCTTCCTTCTCAACCCTGGCCATTGTAAGATTCATGGTGTGTTGAATCGGTGTGTGAATGCACCAGATTGCTTCTTGCAATGTCAAGAAGTTGTTGCTTCCCTAAATCTCGAAGGAAAAAGTCTGAAGGAGGTGCGCGGGACCTCCTCCTCATTACAGAGTGCAAGTTTTGTATTCGGGGGTTGGTCCGCAGCATTTCCTTTACACTGATTGGCATGCTGATGTCGCCCCAGATCTTAGCAGCAATAGTCGACCAGCACAGCGGCTACAGCAGATGAAAAACTGCACCAAATGCTCTTAGCAGCCTTGACACGTTGCACTGTTCACTTGGGCCAAAACCGGCCACTGACTGCACATTGCATAAGATTACATTCTCCTTCTCATCGTTGTAAATGATTTGCTGCAACAACTGTGCCCTCCCGCAGAGTCGTTCACTGAGGGCGAGCAGCGAGCGATGATGGACTCGCTGCGCTCGGCGACGCGCAACACCGGCTTTGAGCGCTGGCTCGACGCAGCGCTGCGCCCGCGCGACGGCTCCGACACCGCCGGCGAATCGCCCAAGGCCCCCACCACCGACGCCGACTCCCCCAAAGCCGCCGACGGCGCCGCCAGCAACCAGCACGGCGGTAGCAGCGGCCACGGCAGCGACGCGGCTCTGGCCGAGGTCGCGGAGTACCTGGCAGGGTCCAAGGCCCAGAAGGAGCCGGGCGGTGACGCCGGCGTATTCAAGCCCGGCTGGGAGGACATCTTCCGCATGAACCAGAAGACGCTCGAGGTGCGGCGCTCTGCTGTAATCCACCGATTATGCACGTCTAGCTTTTCTCCTCATTGTCCTCTCCCTTCCACTCACATGTAATGCGTGGGAAGCTGCCGAGCGATGGTGTGCAGTCCTCTTAAGCTCCTTTCACGATCACACCCAACAGCTTCATGCATGCAGTGTGCATAATGTCTGCTTGGAAGCATGAGCATACCTGACCCTATCCGCTTTATTTTTATGAGGTGTACAGGAATATTCAGGCCTAGAGTACTGATTGTGACCCTGGCATGTGTTCACTTTCGAGCAGGAGGCGGTACGGCGCATTGGCAGCGACGAGGGACTGGACGCGCAGCGCAAGGCGTACCTGATGCAGAACATCATGGCCTCGCGCTACATTGTCGCTCAGCAGCGCCGCATGCAGTCTACCCCGGTCGGCCACGCCGCCGCCGGCGGCCGCCGCTGCTACCACGACGCCCGCCAACACATCCTCGGCTGCCCCCACTACAAGCGCGGGTGCGCTGCGTTGCCTGCCTGTTTGACTTAAGTATTGCAAATACACCTCTCTTTGTGTTTTTGCTGTGTGCAAGAATTGGTTGCTGGGTGCTAGATGTTAGTTCCATGCAATTGACCTGGCACCGGGGTCACTTGCAACAGCTGGATGACCAATGGCTCGTATGCTATGCATGCATGCACTAGCCATCTGCATGCCTAAAGCATAGTGTTCTAGCCACTGGTTCTCCTTGCTGTTGTGGGTGCATGATGGCAGAGGTCACCTTTTCTATGTCACTCCAAAACATTTGTGCCTCCTGGGGGGTGCTCGTGGGTGAGGGTGCGGCTGCGGCGCAGGTGTCAGGTGGTGGCGCCGTGCTGCGGCAACGTGTACCCCTGCAAGAAGTGCCACGACGCAGAGGAGGACCATGTGCTGGAGTCCCAGAAGGTGGAGATGATGGTCTGCATGGCCTGCAATCTCCAGCAGACCCCTGCAGGTGTGCGGCTCCTCCCATGTCCTGTCCTTGAACTCTTCCCCTCGCCTCACGTCATTTGCTTATATGTGCCTGAGGTGGTAGCAAGAATTTGACATGTGGCGTCGGGAAGAAGTCAAGGACAGGTGGCGACGCTTTCAGGAGGGATGGACATGCACACGCACCTGATGAGATGCATCAGATATGGTACGAAGGCAAATTTGAGAGGGTCTATATGCTCTCAATGTAGGTATTTGAGGCATGTATGACAGTGTTTTAGATAGCTGGCTGCTGCCGCGTCTGCAGGGTCGTGCAGTGGCTGTGGGGCAGCAATGGCGCGGTACTACTGTGACATCTGCCATCTGTGGGACGACCAGCCGGGGCGCTCGATATACCACTGCCCCTTCTGCAACCTGTGCCGCGTGGGGGAGGGCTTGGGGGTGGATGCATGCCATTGCATGGACTGCAACACCTGCATGCACCTCTCCGAGTTTGCCACCCACAAATGCCGCGGCCTCTCCTCCTGCCCCGTATGCACCGAGCCCCTCTTCGAGTCCTCCCAGCCCTACCGGGTGAGCGCTGCCGCCTGATAATTTTGTTGCCCCCATTCTTGCACCAGACATTGTTACCGCCTTGTACCAATCCTGTGTCGCTATAAGTAGATCATCCTGGGGAGAATGTTGGGTGTGTGCTGCCTGCTGCACCGCATGCATGCACAAGGCATCGATTGCAAGAAAATCAGAATGCAGTCAGTGAGGATCTGCATGGGAGCTGCCTGCCGAGACCCCCCTTTGCAGGGAGCTCCGGTGTGACCAGGCTAACTCATCCTGCTTTTGCACAGTGGCAGCACTGGACAGAGCCTTGTCACACGTAATCCAGTCTGATTGATAGCAGACATGGGCTGTGCTTTCTACATTCCGAGCGGCTTGTCTGTCAGTCCGAGAACCCAGACAGCAGATGAAAGGCTCCAAGGACTGAGCTTATGTCAGAAAGACTGATGTGCGCCAATAAGATTGATGTGGCCACAAAGTTCAAGGTGGTGCCACAAAGGTCTGATTAGATCAAACAAAAGTTTCTGATGGCTGCCTGTGCATGCAGGAGCTGCCGTGCGGGCACTTCATGCACTCGCACTGTTTCGCGCAGTACACGCGCTACAACTACACCTGCCCCATCTGCGCCAAGAGCATGGGCGACATGAGCGTCTACTTTGGCATGCTCGACTCCATCCTGGCCAAGGACGTCTGCGACCTGCCCCCAGCCTACGCCAGCCGCCGCCAGGTGCGCTGACCGCACCAATTAGTAATTCTAGCACACAATTGATGTGAAGAAATCAGTTGAAAATGATCAAATTCGAAAGCCGAACGGGAGCCTGATCTTTCTCCAACCCGCGGTGGTTATGGCATCTGTGTTCAGCTTGTCTTCGATAAGTTGGTGGTTTGCAGCATCATGTGCAAATAATTGCCTGATGGACAAGAGGGCTGGGATGGCTGTCTGTTCGATGTTGATGTCTAGGTGTTGCGCGCAGGTGATCCTGTGCAACGACTGCGGCCGGCAGGGTGAGGCGCCCTTCCATTTTGTGTACCACAAGTGCTCCAGCTGCAATTCGTACAACACAAGGGTGCTCCAATAGTGAGAAAGTAAAATAACAGGCCGAGCGGTGATGGCTTGCTTGTACACGGAGGAACCGTCGCGCGGACACACTCATGCATTTGGCAGATATGTTGCTTGCCGCTTTTGTGCAAGCCATGGCATTTTGAGGCAGCCTGACAAGCCCTGGTACCGCTAGGCTGCCCAAGGAATGAGATGATCTAAGTCAATGTTGGCAATCTACAGTGTGGTGACTGGGGTGCCTCCACCCTCAAAATGTTGCAGCTTTGGGCGATCGTTTTGGTAAGATAAAAAGAAAGGTAGCTGTGCACATCGAGGGGCGGTACTTTTTGGCAGGAGGGTCTTGATCTTTATCAGTGGGGGGATATGCTGTGTTGAAAAGGATTAACCAAGACTTGGGAATGCAGGCTTGGGAATGCAACCAGGGTGCACAAGCAGGGGCAGTCAGGTAGATGCTGCATGTGCTGCCTAAGAATAGCATGTCCACCCTTTTGAAGGTCCGATCGATGAAAAGCTCGAGAAGACAATATTGAATGTTTTGGGTCCAACCGTTTTGACATTCTTTTAGGCATATGGATGCACTCTGCAAAGTGCATATTGTCTCATGTGTGCCGCAATCAATGATTAAATGTGCCACAAGACAATGCGAGTTAGAGTGATGGGCCGCATGTTTTTGTTGTAGTCATGTGCAGATGCGATGCATCGTGCTATATTGTTGCAGCGCAGCTGTATAAGGATTTGACCTGATCAGGGCCAAAAGCACACGCTCGTATCATTTTCTTGCTCCTTGATATATATGTTACAACATGCCAAACTTGGGGACTGCTTTCAAGCTTGTTCGTGGTGATGCTGATCAATAGCTTGGCTTTCTTTGTGTCGCAAGGTTTATGTCATTTACCGGGTTAGACTGCAATGTTGCCGTCACAAATCTGTGCATGATACAAGAGTCGCTCCAGTCTATACTGCCAGACCTTGTAACCAATTTGCTTGGGATAAAATCATTTTGAGATTTTGCAGGTGATTATCAGCTCAGCATCATAAGACTCAATCTGGATTCCTTCATGCTATTCAACCAGTGTAGCACCTTCACGTTGTCCGTACTTTAACCTGCAAATCCCGGTCAATGGGATTCCAATAATCCCGAGACATGATGGGCATTTAGTCTCTGTCTGCATGGCCCGCATTATCCAGCATCTGGATAATGTGGGCCACATCCCGGCTAATACACTGGCATACACATAATAATACAGAGGCACCCCGCAGAAAATTGCTATTCACAGCAAAGGGTTGCTGTCCGAGAGCTTGCTCCTCCGCAGCAGGGGGTTCGAGTCGGTGGACCCGTAGCCCGAAGAGTCATTGAAGGCCCGGTACAACGCTCGCGCGAGTGCCTTCTCGGCCGCATCGTCTGCCTCTGCCTGCATGACCTGCCGCACGCGCTTCACTTTCACATCCGGGTCTTCCAGAACCGCAACCGTCTCCCATGCACGCTTTGGCGCTCTGGCCGGCCCTGGCCCGCTCGCCTGCCCCGGCTTGGTTAGCTGCGCGCCTGTCTGTATGTCACCCACCCCCAGCCTCTGCGTGGAGGCTACTTGCCTCCCGCCCTCCGACCGAGCCTGCTGCTGCCCTCCTGCGATTGGCATACGCACACATGACCTCAAAAACGTTGGGCGGAGCTGACACCATGCAGGATTTATCATGCAATGCCACCAGTTTCAGTATTCGTGATCAGGGATTATGCCTCCTGCAAACAACGATGGAGAGAAGGGCGGTCCAGGAGCAGTTTTGAGGGGGGAAGGCGCACCTGGTTGGGCCTCAGCAGAGGCTGCGGGTGTGCTGCTGGCCAGCTTGGGCGGCTGTCCGCTCGCAGCTCCGATGCCGCGGCGGCCCTTCTGGTGCCAGGCTGGCACAGGCGTTGTGATCCCCTGCTCCTGCGCTCCCAGCCCCCCGCCTGTCCACCCTGCTTTCGCCAACAGCTGCACACCACAACGCAACACTTAGACATTCTATAAAACCACGCCTCAAGCAGTATGCGCAGTATATTTCACAGTTGTGATTGGGGCCTGGGAATATTGTGTAGTCTGCATTGGAGCACTAACTGTTTGACCAAGCTCTCTCGAAACAGTTGAGAAATTGCTGAGACAAAGGCAAGGGCAATGGTTCAGGGGCTGGGCTTTGATGGCTCACTGCGTATCCAATGCCTTTTGTGTCTCTGATCGCATCTGCAGGTTTGGCTTTCCGCAGTTCTCTGTGCGTGGCAAAGGCCTGCTGCAGGGACTGTAGAGTTGTTGCTCTTTCCTGCTCCCTATCAGAGGGACCTGCTCCATCTTCGTTTGATGACCTGCATGCAACAGAAACGCAATTTCATACAGGGACCCTGTGAAGTTATTTTTTCAGAGCTCTCTACATCTTGAAGAAATTCTGCACCTCACAAGTGATTCTGCATCAGACTTTTCAGACCTTTCTGATCTGGCCCATCGCTCCACTGAGGGTCCCGCACCGACCAACTGTTTGTAAAACTCTGCAACCTGGAGGTCTTCTTCGATTTCTTCTTCGCTTGTGGCGTGGATCGTGACCTACGTAAGCAAGCAGCAGTATTCAGATACCTTGAACAACTTAGCATTATTATCGTCGTCAATACTACAGGACTTATAATGGGAGGACAGTCTACCCAGTCTCTCCCCAGTGGCGCCAGCGTTGCGTTGCAACGCAACCTGTCCTTATATCATGTTCAACTCGAGCTGGTGAAAATTGCAAAAAGCTTCTTGCAAAGCACTTGATCAGGCGACAGTATAAAAGACTTACTCCTCGTGTAAACTTTGGCATGTGTACGTTGTGAGAAGCAACGATTGCCATAAAGGGACACCTCCCAAGCTGTGCAACAGTGGATTCCCCAAGCCCTGAGGTCGCCCTTTGAGAAGTCAGTGCAATTCTGTACGAACACAGATAATTCAAGGCCTCCGTTACGTCTTCAATTGCACCCAGGGGAAATTGACTTTACTCAGTAAAGTTTACTGTGACATCTCAGCTAGAAAGAAAGGAAGAACGCACTAGAGGGAACCCCGTAGGAGACCCTAACATGCATACGTGCAGAGCCAGAATGGCTGAGCAGGGAACATCACTTGTAACAGCTAGCCCCCGTCATCAAAGGTAAATGGTGGGGGGCAAGGAGAGGAAACCAGGAAGGGGCTGGCAAGGGGCACGGCGGGCCCGAGAGGACCGGCGCAGAGCCACGTGAGGGATAGAACGGCCGGAAGGCAGAGGGTAAGAAAACCGGGAAGGGACACCGGGGGGTGCCACAGGGGGGCGGGGCCGACGGGGGGCAGACGATTGAGGGGTCCGAGCGGCAAGCCGGACAGAGGGGCAGGAGGCCCGGGAGCTAGATCCACTGGAAAGCAGATGCAGGCAGCTGCTGACTAACCCTCCAGCTTCTGTAAATTGCTTTGCCAAATTGCATGATTAAATTAAGCCATCTGCTCCTTGTTGCATCGTGCTTCTGGCCTTACATTGCTGCAGTAACAGTGTCTCTCAAGGCACAGCACTTGACGACCCTTCCCCACCGGAATTCGATTGGTCAACAATAATGCGGCGCAGCCCTCAGGCTGGCAGCGGCTGCTCGCTTGTCATACTAAATTTCATATTCAAGTCACAAGAGCAAATTCAAGCCTCAAACACTTGCTAGAATTTCTGCTTAGCAAATGGTATCCTCACTAAGGGTCAAGCCGATACTTCAGCTATGCTCCAGCTGAACAGAACTGTCAATACATCAGTTCTCATGATGTCTCAGACTGAGGCCCAGCAACTTCAAAGCTCTACCTTCTATTAAAAAATGCATGACAGAACAGAAAAGCTTAGGTCTTCATAATATACAGTAGAGTATAGAGATAGCACACAGTCACACCTTTCAATACACCTACGGGACCCCTCCATGGCCATCTTCATGCTGGAGTGCAACCCCTCATGCAGGAAAGCTCAATTCTCAGAAGACCGCATCCCAAGCCGCCAAGCCAAGCCTGTCACAATGCCCTCATGGCTGCACAGTGGGCCCCGGCTGTGGCGGCTGCGGCGGCTGTGAGGGCTTGGGGGGCTCCGGCGGGTCCGGGGGATTTTTCCGCGGCGGCGCGGGCGGCGGCTCCGGCCACGGCCGCGGAATCTTGACCGACTCGAGCGGTGTGGAATCCACGCTCACACCCGTCTTAATGTCCGCCGCCTCCAGCACCGGCGCCACAGAGATCAGCGTCGGCGTGATCGAGACCCCTGCCGCAATGTTGGCCGAGTCCGCGACGCCGATATTGATCAGCGTCGGGCCGATGTTCACGCCGATCGACACGAGCGCGCCGCCGGACGACGACGTCTGGATGAGCGTCGGTCCAATAGAGATGGCTTGCGCGAAGAGTGCCGCGCCGACGGGGCCGAGGACGGCGAGGCAGGGGGAGTAGTTGATGCCGGTGGCCGCCAAGATTGCGCCGAGCGCGCTCTGCTGCAGCTTGGACGACGAGTCCGCAAAGAGCCGCGGGTCGGAGACAACGAGGAGACCGTTGAAGAAGGTCGTTGCGTTGCCGATGCGCGCCGGGCCGACGAAGCTCGGGACGCCCCCCGTGGGAATGTTCTGCAAGCGCTCCAGCGCGTCCGTTGCGTTGGCTGGAAGGTCGACATTGGTGGCGTCGTTGATGACCCGCTCGAGCGCGGCCTCGGGGCGGCCATTGGCTGCATCGTTGATCGCCTGCAGCGTGAGCTTCTCCAAGGTGTCGAGGGTGAGCAGCGCTGCCTCCTCATTGCCGCCGGTGGTCTGCAGCGACAGGATGGCGGCCGTGGCAGCCCACTTCTGTAGGCTCACATCTGCATCCGATAAAAGCGCCGGGCCTGCGCCCTGTGGGGACTCCTGGCCTGCTGCTAACCCCAGAACTGCTGCGCACAGCAGGATCCAGATCTCCAATCTGCATAGAAAACATCATTAAGAGCTTTTCAGACAGAAAAGATGCCTTCTGAGCAATCTTACCGTTAAGAAGACTTCATAACTTTTCAACAGAAGTCTTTGAGGGATGGGGATGTTAGAAATTTGCCAGCATATAATCGAGTGTGAGGGAATTGTTGCACTCACCTTGGACGCATTGATTGCTGTCCCTGATCCCAACTTCAGCAATTGCGATGTCAAACGGCCCTGCGCTTCGTTGCTGGCCAGAAAAGCAAGTGACCATCTGCTCAACCCGGTGCCATTGCTTGCAGGCAGTATATCAGGCAAAATTTACTGGGTCATTGAAGGTGCTCCTCTGGGGACAAGGTCGCGTAAGCGGACGTAATAATGTACTGATTTCAGAGCTTCAGGATCAAAAGTGCTGCAGATAAGCTCTTCCTAGCATCGCGGTGATAACGCAGGTGGATCGTGGAAGGACATTTTCCGATATGTTTTCTGAGCAAGCAAAATTTCAAACATTTTTCATAGCTTATTTCCCTTAGCAAGGACAGCTATGTTGTGTCATACAATTCTGTTATACAGATGCATCACGCAGCTCGATTGAGAGATGCATCTTGGTATATCAGATCACGGTGCTTTGATCCCAGCATTGAGTTGAGCTTCTGTGAAGGATTCTAGGTTTCACGGTGTAAACCACATAGGCAGGAAATTACCAATATCCTTCTCTCCGACGAGGAGTCATTTAAGTTGATCACAGTGATTTCGGGTCATCGGTGTCAGGTGTCGCACGCTACCTCAAGCGTGAACAACGACGAATGCCGTGGGTGGTCTCGAAAGAGGGAGGCTGGCCTTAGCCTGGGGAACCTTGATCACCTCATCCAGACATGCACATTCGTGAATGAAGCAGGAAATTGGCTGTCTATGCCGTTGAGTCGCAGGTGCGCACGGTGATGCAAAATATAGAGCAAGATGGTGCCTTTTCAAGGTGAAAGCTTGTCCTTTTTAGAGCCACGAAAATGGGAAAAAGGTCATTATGGCGAACATCAGAAGTATCACTTCGTGCTCGTCTTGCATGTCTTCCATGTCTTCACAACTTCTACGTCTGCTAAGTGTTGATGCTGGGAGGGCGCAGGTGTCCTGCTACCATCTGTGCAGCGCTTGTCTTCATAGCACTTGCTGCTGTGAGCAGCGCGGAGCTTGACGCGAAAAATGTATTGAAGGATTGCGAGCTTTGCAAAAAGTTCATCAACTTTGATGCCCCTCAGCCAGTCACCGGTCCTTCGCAGTCCTTTCTGGACCATTATGCAGCTGTCATTTCAGGTGATGCACCCATCCCCTTCCAGGGGAGGGCTGCTTTCATTCCAATGCTTTCACAAGACAGACAGCAACACGTGTGATCATGTGCAGAAGCTCAAGGCAGGTCTGGTGATTAGCCGGGCCAACATCATTGAGTGATGTGTCCAGGAAACCTGCTGCTCACGGAGAAGTCACCGGCCGAAGCTATAAAAGCCACATTCCGACTCTTCGACTCAGCACGCCAATACGTAAGGTCTGGCTTTTCCCTTTCCTTGCCCTCACTTGGCAGCCTGCTAGTTCTTGCCCCTGCTGACATGCTGGCACTGACCTCGTGACTGTGCTATAACTCCTCTTGTGGTTTACAGGACGATAGCGGCTAATCAGACAGGGCAGCCCAATATCATCGGTGCCATTGCCAGCTCAGACTTCTACGCACTGAATCAGCTGATTGGCACCAAGCTGGCCGAGTACCTGCCGGACCACATCGGCCTTGACCATTTTGCGAACAACTACACACAGGTGAAGTCCCAGACACAATCTAAGAATTGAGGGGGCTTCGGTGGAGCTCCTAGAGATTTACATGCGGGGTCAGCGCACTCAAATTGATTCCATCAGAATCCTGCACAATCTCGGACTTTGCTGGAATGACATGGACAATAGCGGACTTTGTCCGAAGTGGATTGATGATGCCGGGGAGCGATGGGATGTATATACCTACTGCTCCCACCTGTTGGGTGTGTCAAATGAGGCAAACAAGTGCAGTCCTTTTCTGGAGTCCTTTCGTCTCAAATATTCTCCAGCGATGATCTTTTCCATGGCTTCTGCTTTGGATCCAAAGCAGTGAGGCACAGATGTTGAAGGTTGCCCCTTGGACCTAGATCTTCAGATCAGAGTCTTTCATGTCATTTGATAGCTCTCAGGTCCATCTGGATTGCAGTGTCCACATATTTTATCAGCAGATACTTGGCAGATTTCACTCACGGCCGTTTCGATTGGTGCATGCGACAGGCGGTGCTGCCGGGCCTGACAACAGCGTTGACAGGCATCAACTATGCGCCCTGCCTCTTTTCCACGGGCGCGGTTGGGGCCATCGGAGGCGTCACCGGCATCGGGATCAGCCCCAAGATCTTCAACTATGGTGCTTAATTCTTTCCATCCGATCTGACACCATACACCATGACACTCTGTCTTCTCAGGGATAAGGGATTACAACTGCCACCTTCAGTGCTTTGCACAGTACCGCTGCCTGAATGCTCCGCGCCGGATGTGCGTGTTAAGTCCTCACGCTATGACATGGGAGTCCAGTTCTTGCAATGCCCCGGCATTATCTGAGTTGAAGCCGCATAGACCGAAGCCAAATCAAGTCGTTCACGCATTTCTGGTTTGAATGCTGTATCACGTGATAGACTGAAGCATGTGGAGGTAATGCTTGGTGACACAATTGCTGGTGGCAGGTGCCTCGGGAGGGGCGGTGATTGCTCAGGGCGTGGCTGTCAGCCCATCCCTGCTCTACATCAGCCAGTCCGGCTCGGCCGGCATTGCCATCGGCGCCAACGTGGTGAGCCCCGTGCTCTTAGCTTGCGGCTTTCCGGCTTCAGGATTAGGACGCGCAAGGTAGCTTGTAGTAAAAAAAGCACTCGTGGCAGATTGGTTCAAAATGCCATTCTCTCCGGTCAGGATCCTGGCTGACAAGGTCCATGTACTCTCCTCCATTTCTTAATGGGGTGCCCCTTTGCCCAAGCTAGGCTTGTCTTTTGTACGTACCTGCTCTGCATGCTTTGAATGGGTGCTTTCACTAGAGGTCATCTGGTTAGTGATGGCCAGAGGATCAAGCAAAGCAGTCTTGCCTGCGAACACGGCTTGCTCCAAGATGAAGGCATGCAAAGCAAGCGAGACAAAATCTCAAAAATCACGTACTGCAGTGGGAAAAATTGCCTAATACAGTGTCTCACGCTGCCATCTTTTCCATACAGCATAGGCAAAGCACAGCCTGCATGCATGATGCTCAATTCTTGTCTCGATGTGCGCTACCTCACGCTACCATCTGGTCGTGAGAGCACAGATGCAAAGCAGTGTTGCCTGCATGCATGACACTTACCGCTTCCTTTGACGTGCACAGTCCCCGTCGCTCATTACCGTGGGACCGACAAGGTACATACGAGCGCGCGTGGGCGTAGCCGCCGGCAAGTCCGCGCTCAGCGTCAGCTTTGCAGGGGCACCGGGGCCGGCCCCGGCTCCCGGGCCGGGGGCCGCGCCGGCCGCCGCACCAGCCACCGCCCCCGCGCCTGGGGCCGGCAGGGGACCCTAAATCTGAAATGTTCTGATTTAGAGAAAATGGTATGCTGTCATCAGAGCAAAAGGAGCATCAATAGGAAGGAGGAAGGGCTGCCTCGCAGTGTATGTAGAACACGTGAAACAAACAAGACACCTCCAGCCTTGGAGTACATTCTGATGAGTAAGCCACTGCACATTAAGGTCCAGGTGTGTCTGGATGCACCTAACACATGGCACGACATGTTGATGTAGCCAGCTTTGACCTGCTGAACATGAAAGCACCTGGTAGGAGAGGCAGGATGCAAAGACAGGTCTGGCTCGGTAATGGACATACTCAATTCAGACTGATTTGGAGTTCTCCGGGCAGCCAGGCAGCACGGTCCTAGGGAGGTTGAGGAAGGTCCGCAGAGCTGGTGCAATTCCTCAGGGGTGGTGATATGGGCCTGCAGACTAGATGGACCGCACACGCAATGCAGACTCAACCAGCTGAGCTGGCCCAGAGAATCGGCCTAGCAGCTCAAAACGGGTGCCTTGCTCCGCTAGGCAGGGCTCTGCAGCCCGATTTATTCTTGATTATTCATTATTCCGAAGGGATGCTTCCAATTGTCCACAGAATTTGGTGATGGCTAAATTCCAACTTTGAGAGATATTAAGCGCCCTGCCACAGCGGCATGGGGTATGTGAATGTCTGAAATATAACGGTGAAGAGGAACATGAATATTGCCAACAGAATCCTTGATATTAAGGTGTTCAAAGATGTTTTGCTTCAGGTACCAGGGGAAACTGTATTGTTTTGTCTGGTCTTAGCGAATATGGTTGCGGTGCCCTGCTGCTTCCATGCTGCAGCGGTGTCCTTAGCAGAGAGTTATCCTCCGTCTTGTATTCTTTAGAGGCAATTTCTTGGCCAGATTGAGCACTTTGAAAGAGCCACTTTGCTTTTGAAGATCTTGACCCACTAGCCAACAAGCTTAAGCTCAATGGTGCAAGAAGAGCCAATTACAGCAGTAGCGAGGGTGTTGTAGATCTGTGAATGTAGATTTCTGGCATCTGAAATGGCCAGAGAGATGGCACCCTTTTCCATTCGAAGTTTGGTTGCTAGCACCATGCAGCACATAGAGGCCTCAGCATATCTTTCATTGAAGAGGAAGAAGTTTTTTTTTAATTTAACAGTCACTGGCAATTGTGGTATGCTTTGCGTGTAAAGAAACGCGCCGCATGCAAGTTGTGGATAGTGTTCATTCTTGCTTGATCGTTGCAAGAATTCTTGGACCACAGGCTTAGCACAAAGGTGTGTGCAGGAGGCTAGCTCAAAGTTTCAAACCTCGTTGTGCGGTCAAAAAATGGGCCCATATGATATCATGCATGGCGATCGTAATGGCCCGTGCTCGCGACCGATCGGCCCTCCAGTATTGTGCATCAGTTAACACGTGTATAGATGGCCAGCATGCTGCGATACATGTGCATGCATGCAATGCACATTCACTGGTAAAGGGGATGGCATGGCTATGTGATGGGTCCAGTCGACTTATGCATCTCGAGTGCACAATCATCAGTGTGTCACCAGGGTTCCAATTCACCTCTGCATACCCCATTGCTTACCCCACTGCATACGTCTTTATCTAATTACCAAGAGATGCACCTGATCACAGCAGGCTCTTTGAGTCTCTACACATATTTTACCATTACATGATAACTTTGACATGTGTTCGCCAATGCTGGAAGTGCACAATATTGTTTTGCCACTTCTGCCAACTGGTTTACCCCTAGGGAAAACTGGTGAGGACCTGATGATCTCAAAATCCTCTCGCATGCCATTCTTGAGATGAACCTTTCTGAAAAGGAGAGGGAAAGGAGGTCCCTAATCCAGCTATCTTCATGGCCTACAATCTGAACCAGCAGATGCCGTTCTGAAGATGTAGAGGAAGATGTCATTGTGGCGGACAGGACATGGCTTGTCACGGGCACGCCCGCCGATGGCGGCGATGATGCTCAATTTGAACCGTGAATGGTTTTGCTAAGGCATCTCGGATGGATGTAGACACCGACAGGTCTACAGAGTGTCTGGGTGAGCACTCTGAACTCCCGAGCTGTTCCAAGGCCTTTGTGTGAGAGGACGATTGCAGCGATGATGCCAAACAAGTACCATCAAATTCCTAGTGAGACTTATCCCATTGCGGACAACATGTAACCTTGTCTGAGCTGCAGAGCCCTGCTTCACCTTCATAAACCTAAACATCAGATCATAGGAGGGCTTGTTGCCTGAAGTCACAACTGTTTGGAACAAAGTATTTTGCTGCTATGCGCAGGACTATGTGAAGTCTTCAAAAGGGCTTCATGACAGAGGTGATAGCTCGGGGACAGTGAGATCAGGCGCCATGGCGGCTTCAGCAGGCATATCATGACCTTGAGGTATGATCTGGAGTCATTGATTGAATTTGTGGCTGTGATGACCTGCTTAGAGCAATGTCTCTTTTTGCAGCTATTAAGCCGGCATGCTTGCCATCTGAGTGGCTTGGATGTGACTTTATGCTGCGCAGAATGATGTGGGCTTTGTCTGGCTGGCAGCTCCTGATGCTGAGCTGCCAGTCCTAAAAAGTGCCCAACATCCTTTGTGTTGAACCTGCAAACCTTGAGTATGCGAAGTGTGCTTCTTGCTGAAGCGTTTGGTTACTTCACAGGGGCGCACAGCATGGAGGCAAAGTACCCCACGCTGTTGGAAAGCCGTGGTCCTTGGAATTCTTGAACACCTCGCCACATACCGCTCTCACTGCAAGTGGTAGAGAGATGGAGTCGTGACTGCTTGGCTATGTAGATTATGCTGTTCAATGCTCCAAGGAGATTTTCTCTATAAAATTTATAGCACAAAGCAGTAGAGCGCTAGCTTAATTGGCAGGTTGTTGACCAAACTGAGTTCATCAACGAGGATGTGTTGTAAGATCACACTCAAGCCCTAGGGTGGGTGCCATACGGCAACTAACAAGCTGCGTGAAGGCTCCTTAGAAAACAAATTTGTGCAACTATTCTCTTACAGATACATGCACCATGTCTGCGCAAGCCTGTGTACATATTCCTCGTCTCAGCGCTGCATTATCTGAACTGCGTCTGCTTGCGAGCAAGCTTGCCCTACCTAAGGATCGATGACATCAATATATTGTACAGACATGGAATGTCAGGCAGTGCTGCAACACGAATTAACAAGGGCAATTGGCTGCCTAAGCTTTTCCTGGGATGGCATCAAATTCACAGACCTGGGTAGCACAGCTGGCAGGGCGAATCCACTATCAATGAACGGGGGCAATCCCCCAGATACAGCAATTTTCAGATCGTACCTTTCCAAAACGACAGCAAAAACTCTGGAAATGAGTGACGCCTTGTGTACTCTGAAAAAGATGCAACGCTACCCACCTTGAGGGTAGCGGGCCTTCTCAGCGCCTAGTGACTGATTCCTACTGATTCCAATCTGCTCATAGCCTTATCCTCAGATTGCTCACCTAGTGATATTCAAACTGCTCACCACGTTGTCAACCCTGTCTTGCACACAGATCTATCGCCATCCACCTCACCTAGACAGATAGCGCTTTGGGACAGCAAAACAACTTAGGCCCATCGTATTTTGCGACTTCCATCCAACAAGATACTCGTTCCTTTGTCTGGCATGCTCGCCTGCAAAATCCTCAGAATTGCTCATGCTAATTGATTTGGGAGACTGACAACTGTCCCCTTCTCATGCCGTATCCATGCATGTCTCTGCACGGCAAGACCCATCCCTTCCGCGGTATCAAGGATGAGAAGCATGCATCCTGGGTGCAGAGGCCTCCTCAGTAGGTCTCCCGCTCTCCCAGGGACTCAGTGTTGCCGCTGTTTGAGCGCCCCTTGCCAATGGGAGATGATGTCAGCAGCAGGGAGGTGGCATTCGCCAGGTCGCCCTCAGTGACGGCGCTCTTGAGAGAGTCCAGCCGGTCTGCCATGTGCGCCTGCTTCTCCACCGAGCGCAGCAGCGCACGCCGCGTCTTCAGATAGTCCCCTGTCAAAAAGCCCCAGCCGATGTTAATCTCTGCGACGGTTGAAGACGACATCTATGAACTGTACGGTCGTCCTCAGGATGGTGTTGAGAGCCACAGGACGATTGACAATCTCCATGACGCTTGAAGAAAACTTTGGAAGCTGCACTGTCCTCCTCGGGACTGTGCTGAGAGCCACAGGACCGCCGTATTGGCGCCTTAGCATGCTCAAGGCTGCTGACACTTTGGAAAAAGGGGAAAATCTCCACAGTGAGGCTGAGGAAATAAGCCTTTCTGTGAAAAACTCCGCAGGCGGCGTACCTTGCGTTTCAGCCAACTCCACTTTCGCGCGCACCAGCGTTTCCATGAGAGTCTCATTCTCCTCTCGCAGCCGCATCACCTGCCACGGCCACGCCAGACCTCACCATCACATCAGTGCTTCAACAAGCCATTGCAACACTTCCCATAAGCAGCAGCGGCTGACGATCACAACAGCCTTTGGAACACTTCCTCAAATCGAGATCAATCAACAATCATAGCCATACCATGTCAACATGAAGTGTAGTGAGGAGACAGAATGAGGTTCGGGTGCCCGGTGCCTAAGGCTCACCTCCACCTCTTCATCTGAGAGTCCAGCATACACATGGCCGATGCCGGAAAAGCGCGGCCGGCCCGGCGACTTGGGATTGACACCGCCCGCCGCCTCCGTCTGCACCGCATGACCACAACACTCTCTCAGAATCTGCATTTCTTGCAAGTCCTCTCACAAGCATCCAGGAGGACCATCCCTCCACCCTTCCCCATAGGTGTGCACGCTCCCACAAGTTCAGCACAAAATGCACCGTGGGGACCAACCGCAGCCACCCATTTGGAGCCAGACAGCACAATCCTCATCAGATCCCGCAGTTGATCTAGCAGTAAAGAACGATTATACTCAGTGGGCAGTGATGCACCCATACTTGATCCACTATTTGCACAGCGCTCAAGAGCACAGAGGTCAGGCGCGCACCACAGAGGCGGAGGCTTCGGCTGCGGCGGCGATGTGTTCGGGGACGGCCAGCTCGCCAGCGTCGGGGATCATGCCTGAGGAGATCTTCTCAGCCACATGCGCCAGCTGCCGCGCCAGCGCATCCCGCTGCTTCTGCAGTGCCGCACGCTCGTGCTGGCTGCTCTTCAGCTTCTCCCCAGCATCCTGCATCGGCAGCGCGAGCTAAAATTTCCAAATTCCCCTCACGCCCCCAGATTGCAGTAACACAGTTGACTCGGTGTAGCGCGAGTAAAATTCCTTCTTGCCAAGGTTGATAAAGGAGATGCATGAAAATGACAACATCAGAGGAACCAATGGTGGCTTGAATCCAGGACTTGGCAAGGCCAGCATGCTGCATAGCTGTCCTGGCGGGCACAGATGCATCCTTCATCCTTCAAGCTCAACATGCTGCATATGCATTCTTACACAGCAAAGTACAAAGCTAGACCACAAAGGAGGTGGTACTAAGAGTGGGGGCGGCACCTGCAGGCGCTCGGCGGCCTGCTGCTCGAGCGGGGAGGAGAGCAGGGAGATGCTGCGAACGCGGTCGCGCAGGGCGGCCAGGCTGCTGCTGCCGCGCCGCTCGGCCTGGCCGCGCGCAGCGGCGCCCTCCTGCAGAGCGCGCAGCTCCTGCTCCAGGCGCGAATTCTCCTGGTCGGCCCTCTCCAGCGCGCGCTGCATCTTGCTGATCTGCGCCTCGTACAGCTCCACCCGGCTGCCCGCCTCCGCCTGCACCGCACATCTTCTTGTCAGAGTTCTGCTGCTTTCACGCAGCTTTGTTTCCACAGTCTCCCGCACTCTCGTCACGGGGAGATGAAAACCAGAGGTGTTTACCAGAATCGCCAGCTTTCTAAGGCCGGTCAACAATGCATGATGCTTCAGCAATGTATGCTGATAGCAGGAGGAAGTGCTTGTCAGTTGTTTGGCGCCTGTCATCGTCCGAGAGGTGTGGTGGACGATCGCAACCCTAGTTTGTGCACTCCTCGAATCTTTTGTCTCATAAAAACACTTCTGCCCCAACAACTGGCAGAGACAAAGAATCTCCACACCGTTGCTCTCATGCCTAGTACTTTGCTATAGAGTGTCAAGGTAGAGAGGTCAAGCGGCGCGCACCGCTTTCCAGCGCAGGACGCCAATGTCGTTGTCTGCGACGTGGGCGCCCCAGGCGGCCTCGGCGGCGGCGCGGTCGGCCTTAAGCGCGGCGCGGCGCTCATGGTCCCACTCGTCCCCGCCATCGCTGGAGCTGTCGCGCAGGCCGCCCATGCTGCTGGCTCCGCGCCCGATCAGGCCCGCCAGGCCGCTGCTCGCCTCCGACACGCAGTCGTCCGCCGTCACCGCCCTCGCCCTGCAGCGCCGTGCAGCGTGTCAGACACAACTTTGCTTCCTCGATACTTCTCAAGTGTACGGCAGGAGACGCCTTTAGGCAGGAGAAAATAGCCAGAATTTGCTGGGGCGACGCCTTCCAGCAGGAAAAACAGCCTTAATCTGCCTGTCCAGCAGCACCACATAGACACATGCAGTATGTAAAACAGGGGCATCTGTGCTTCCGTTGAGGTGTGCAGGTTGCAAAGCTTAACATTCTTGGCCACCCTTCAGCATGCCATGATCAGGCGACATGATGAGACACAGATGAGAGGTAATGCAGGTGGGTGGCAATGCTTCACATACCTGCTGGCCCAGCCCACATCGCCATCGTGGGGGTCGACAGCGAAGGCATTCTCGACACCAGCCCTGCCGGACGCGCTGGCGTGAGGCCGCCCCACGTCTGGAGTCGAAGGGCCGTTGCCCAGGGCAGCATCCTCTTCCAAGGCCTGATCGCTCCTGCCAGCCTCCTGCTCCGGCGGCGAGCCTGCACTCCTGTGCTCGCCGCCAGACGCAGGGATGTCCGATGCAGGTGCATGGCCCTCAAAGGCGCCGGCAGCATGTTGCCCCGAGGGTGATGCATGCTGCAGGTCCGCAGGGGCTGCACTGTCCTCGATGTCCAAGCCTTGCAGAATGCCTGGCAAGGCGTCCAGAGGGCTCCCGAAGCCCGCCTTGTGCTCTGCGCCTCCCCTGGGAGTCGCCAGCTCGCTTGGTGCCCTCGTGTGCGCAGCGTGCGCGTCAGAAGCTGCTCGTGGCTCGCCCCGCTCATGCGCACTGCTTGCATGGTGTGCCTCTGCCACCACCCCCAAGACCCGATGCGAAGACCCATGCTGTCCGAGGTCGGTGCCAAGCCCGGCAGCTGGTGTGTCATGACGTGTGTCTGCGCTGTCCATGTCAGCGTGGGGGCCATCTGCAACTGCAGGCAGATCCTCCTGTGACCCAGAATGTTCCCCGCCACTCTGGTGAGCTGTGTGCTGGCTGCTGCTGCGCACGCCCGACGTGCTCTCCAGGTCCTGGGCTCCCTGCATTGAACGAAATATTCAAAATGACTGCTAAGAAAATGCGAAGGAATCCCAATGACAGTTAGGCAATACACCAGGCCTCAAGCATGATGCGCACCTGGCCAGCATCCAGGTAGCTGCCCTGGAGGTCATGCACGTTGCCGCCGCGCAGCTCATCGAATGAGTCACCGGCGCGCACATCCGCCATGGTATTGTCGCCGGCGAGGCGCAATCCCTTCCTGCGGCTGCGGCGGCCGGAGCGCGGATTTGCCATGCCCACCCCCTTCTCGTCATAGTCCTGTATAATCTCCTGCGCCCACAGCACAGCCAGCACCTAAGTCTGCTGATAAGAGTATGGCGAAAACCTCTGTATGTTTACAACAGATGCATCCATCAGAGACCTTCATGCTTGACTCAAAATAAGCAGATCTTTAGGAAAGAAAGCGTGCTACGGCGCTGGATGGTGCGAGTCGAGATCCTATATCGTTGGGAGCACACCTCGACATTGCTGCCAGGGACAAAGTGGGAGGCGAGGTCCAGGGGAGGGACGGCGGCGCGTGGAGGGGACCCCCTTGCAGACCGTGACGGAGATCCCCGGGACGACTGCGACGGGGTGCCATTCATGGGAGCCGAAACCCCTGTGCAAACCCGACATGAACCCTCAAGAAAACTGCCAAAATGCCACGCGTGCCCACAGCTTCCGCATTTGCGATGACCTCTCAGCTTGAAGAATTTGACACACGCTTGAATGTGCCTCCTGGCACATGGTTCAACGCATGCAAGACGAGGGACCAAAGGCAGGAATGCATGCATGTCAATAAGGGCTGAGAAGTATGTGATAAGGTCTAGTGGCAGGGGGATACTAAATCACTCAATCCAACAGGGTAATAATGGAGTATCGTCCCCCGTTGGGTGTAGTATCCCCCTGCTAGTGGGAGAGGGAGGGGTGGTACCGATGCGGTGGGCCTCCATGTCCTCGATGATGTTCTGCACGATGTCGTGGTCGATGTCATGCAGCTGCAGGCCCACAGGGCCAATGTCCCTGCTGCGGATTTGCAGCTCGTGCAGCTCCTTCTGCACCTCCACCTTCTCCGCCTCCTTCAGGCTCAGCGCCGTCTTGAGCTCCTGAAACATGCCCCACAGCAGCTCAATGGCTTTCATTCTGTAAAGATCTTCTCATTCAAAATTAAATCCCTGCCGTGTTCCTGCTCAATGCCCCACAGTCGCTCAATGCCTTTCGTTCTCTTGACTCTCTTCCAAAAATAGAGCCATGCAGAGCTTCCTGGCCCAGGATATTTATTCTTGTCACGCACCCAAACTGCGCCTTCAATTGATGCTTGATGCTTGCTTACTGTTGCTTGATGCATGCTTACAGGGAAAAGAGTTGATGGCAATCGAATGACGGGATTAGACAAGAAATGGCAAAGCACAAAACAGCAAAATGCTGTACCTGGATCTGTGCCTCAAACTCGGCGGCCTTGTTTTCAGCGCGGTACCGGGCATTCTCGGCCTCCAGTTTGCCGATGGATTCGTTCAGCTTCCGGCTCTGGGAGTCCCAGTCGCGTTTCTCCATCTTGTACTTCACCTCGCGCTCGGCCCATGCGCTGGGCGCCTTGAAGCTCTTGCTGAACACCGTGTTGTTCAGGTCCTCCACCTCGCGAGCCAGTTTGGCCTTTTCCTGCAGCCACATCGCTTCTGGAGTTCTAGTGTCTGCAAGCTTGCCAGAAAAATTGCCAGCCTTGCCAGACCCCTGAAGCAGTCAGCTGGCCAGCAGCCTGCATCCCGACTGAAACAATTGCAACCCTATGCTGCAGTTGGTGCAAAACAACCTCCTTGAAGAACCTGGGTGAATAGCAAGGGTGACAGTACAATGCCATGCAACATTTTTCCCGGCTTGGGACAGCAATGCAAGTTGTTGTCTCTCCCAGGAGCGGTCACCTCTCGCGCGCGCAGCAGCTGCTTGTCCAGGATGCTGACGTCGCGCAGCGCCTTGGCAGCAGCTGCCAGCAGCGCCTGGTCGACGCCGCCCGGGCCGGCCGCCATCAGCCGCACCGCGATCTCCTCATGCTCGCTCGCCAGCGGCGTTCCGGACGGCTCCGGCGGCGCGGCGCTCTCCTTCAATTCCTCTGTGGAGCCTGAAAAGGCAGCAGGTGACTCAGCGGCCAGCTCTAGCATTTATGTGATCAGAGCCTGTATTGGCAGCGGGTGGATCAGTGATGGCCGGCTTTAGCGCGCATGAATGCAGAGTGATCAGGAGGCTGTGTTGGCAGTGGGTGAATTCGTAATGGCCAGCTCTGGTGCGCATGAATGCAGATTAATCATGAGCCCGTGTTGGCAGCGGGTAAATTAGTAGTGGCCAGCTCTAGCCTGGTATTTAGAGTGATCAGGAGCTTGCATTCGCAGCTTATGCCTTTGCATTGGCCAGCTGTGCCACTCATGACGACATACAGTTCAGAAGGTGCCCCCATGCATACTGCATACTGCTCTTGGCTGGCTACCGTCAAAGTGATTGTAGGATTGTTGTGTAGTCTAGCCAAACTCTCCAGGGGCCTCAGCAGGATCAGGCAAGAAATGTACCGTTGGCCTGGCCAGAAGGTGTCCTTTCAGAGCTGCTTTTCGCCGCTCTGAGCTGCTCCAGATCCAGCTTGAGCGCCCTTGCCTCTTTCTCCCGGACAGCTATTGCGTTGCGCGCTTCACTCAATGCCCGTGACATGCCTGCATGGTGAAGATCCACCCTCTCATGGCCAACTCCGGTGAAAGAGGGTATCATCCACTATGGACACTTGCAGCGGCAAGCAGTGCTCTCCCTTTACATGTATTATGGCAATCTCAGACAAGCAAGAAATTGAGTGCAATGACTCACTTGAAGCCTCGCGTTTGGCGGCCCGCCTTGTGGCTTCCAGCTCTGCCTCGAGCTCCATCACTTTCTTCTGCAGCATGTCATGCTTGTATGCTTCCCCGGCCGCCTTCAACTTCTCTGCTTCCACCATTGCCTTGACCATTTGCCTGAGCAAACCAGATCCATCTTACCATCCCACGCCGACAGTGCCCCTCAACTCCTGTTAGATTCCACTTCCCAGACAGAAACACGTCAGAAACACATTGTCAGCAGACAATCATGCAATGCCGGCCGTTGCATTGCTGCGTCTTCCTACCTGTCAAGAGTGGCATCCTCCTGCGCCTTCTTGAGGTCTTCGTTCTCCTTTGTGAGGAGTTCCGTCTCGGCCAATGCCTTCTCAGCATATCCGGTGATTTCCTCCTCCACCGACTTCAGGTGCAAGACTTCATCTTGCAGCTCCTGCATTGCTGCATCCAACTGTGGTGTGGCTGCTCCATCCTGCAGCACATAGCATGGGCTCTTCCTTTAAGCCACGTACTGCAGATGGATCATGTATTGTTTCTCAAATACGAAGCTTTTTAGACAACCCCATGCATGGCTGCACATGCATGCATTTAATTCAACAAGCAGTTCATGAGGACTGGTACCTTCAGGTCAGCCAATTTGGCTGCCAGTACGCCAAGCCTCTGCTCAACGCGCGAGCTTGCTCCCGCGCTGTCTGCAAGCTTAGGTGTTTCTGACATGGTGTGCTTGGGGGTCACCCCATTGCTGCCAGCTGCTGGGCTGTGGGGGGATGAGACAGCCCCTTCCCTGGAACCTATAGCTCCAAGTCTATTGTTGCTGCCTACCATGACTGGCAAGGGCTGTCTGGACTTTGCCTGCAGGAGGTGTGCTCTGCAGTGCCTAACATCCAGCCAGGGCTCTCAAAGGTGCCGCAAAATTTCACCCCTGTGCTTCATCTCTGGGCACATCTGCATTCCATCAGGAATGGCTACATGAAAGGAGCTCCAAACAGCCTTCTTGTCACCCCTTGTGGCCGGCAGTGTACATTGTAGGAGGCCCCTCAGCAGAGTTGTGTTCCCTGCACAGAATGGCCAAATTTTCCGAAACAGCACCAGATCTCAATCGGATGAACCAATGCAGTCGCTTCGCCAGCTGATCGTTCATGTTACCGTGTTGAACAGCTGCAGGCTTGCGATGGTATACGCACAAAGCACCTTTTAGACAGCAGATAAGAGATCATCACCAGTATCAGCGAAGCTGTGGCGTCTATAAGAGGCTCCAAAATTTCCAATGCAGATCCCCCGAGCTGTACGACAATCAGAGCTTTAAAACTCAATCTGTGGGCGATTATGGAGGCTGAGCAGTCCGTAAGATCTAGAAAGCCTCCCTAGATTACCAACAATATTGACTTGATGCTGTAAAAATGATAGGGAAGAATCAGATTAAAATGAGTTGCAAGGCAGTAGAGACTGGCAGCTTTGTGCAACAAAGTCTGTTTGAACCCCCCTGCACCCTATTCAAACGAATTTCAACTGCATGCGCTGCTCTACGACCTAAAAAGAATAATTCCCAGGTCAAAACCTGCAGCTATCTTGGATCTTCGCGGTGTTCGCGTTCGGTAAATCCTTGGCGACAGAGGAAAAGTCACACCTGAGGGACGATTTGGAGCGCACTTCCCTCTCGCCCGGAGGTATGCTACAGGCTGAGGCAAGATCGTGTAACCCAATTTGTTTTCAAGGTCAAGTCTGCACTTAGGACGGTGGATCTGAGGATCCTAGGCCTACTTTTCAGTGTACCAGCGTTTGCTTTCCGTTCCGCAGGAACGCCCCGGGGCCCCCAATCGAGTCAATCATGCAAGGAGCTGATGAAGGAGACTGCTTCCAGGGCAGCTTTGACTACCATAATACTTTTGAGCCTCTGCGGATGTTCATTGTTCTGTGCACTGATGGGAATGTCACGACATCCCTTTGCAATATCTTGCACCAGAGTGCTTTCCAATGATGCAATGGATGCGGCCGCAGGCATGCATGCGCATGTGCATTCATATAATCATGCGCATGCGATCGTTCAGCCAGCGCTGGGCCAGGATCAAGAAATCTAATAACTTTCATGAAAGTTACAAATGGCTGCTGCATGTCAGGTCACATGCTCTGAGAACACTTGTACCTTAATGTGCACAAAAGCTTTCTTGAATTCAAACCTTCAAGGCATGCAATTTTGGGAACGAATGTGAATTCTTGAAGGCTGCACACCTGTGCACTCAAATTCAGGTTCAATTAATTAATATGTATTATATGTTATATACTATTATATTATTATATAATTTATTAAAATTTGCTAGCAAGAGCACAGCGCTGTCATTGAGCATCCTCCAGACCTAAAGAGTGTTCCTGGAACAGTGAGTATCAATCGTGTTGTCGCATTAGAGCATGCATTACTAATTTAGTAGACGAATCTACGACAGAGCACATCGTACACGGACAAGTGCCCAGTGGCCAGTCACAGCAACATGCAACAGTCTTGAGGGAAAATAACGCACGAGAAATAATATTGTTCCTGATCAGCTTCGGCTGCTGAATGGCAGCAGGACGTGCCAGGGAATTGAGAAGCAATCCTTCACTCATCTCTCTACTGTACATTTGCCCTGTGACACTCAGCACTTTGTCCCCGCTGCAACATTTGCTGCCGAGGTCACAAATTCCAGCACAGTGCATATTGACGCATCTGGCCTGGTCAGTAGCTCCCTCACAGTACCTGTGCACCCAAAGCTTGCCATGAGCATCCGCCCAAGTACACAACTTCATTAATTAACAGCCCGGCAGCGGATTTTGGAAGTCAATACTGGATTGATCACCTTTGTCAATGACTGGCTGCTGCACCAAGCCCATGAGTTGTTTCAGGGCAGCCTGCTCCTGTTCCAGCTGAGCAATCTGCAAAGCACCTCTGATCAGGGAAAGGTTGAGCTGACTTGAAGATTGCACAGCAGAAAGGTCCATGGATCCCAGAAAAACAGAGGATAGAATATGAAATGGCAAATAAGTGGGCAGCAAGACCCACCTGGTTCCTAAGAGCGTTCTCATTTGCTTTGCGCTTTTCATAGGACGCCAGAGCTGTGATCCTGTTCCGTTCGCGCCTGTCAAAACACATTCCCTCCATATGAGTCAAAGGGAAAGTTCATGTGGGTTGTTCCTCTGCCGTTTCCTCAAGTAGGTTGATCAGGCAGGGACTGGCAAAACTTGGAAGCTTCCTGAGATATTTCCGGAGAAGAAAGAGCAAGAGCGGGGGAATGTGCACCTGTGTGCGATGGCCTCTTCGGCAGTGAGAAATTGGTACTTGGGCTTGGCACCCCTCGTCCTCTTGCGCTTCTCCGAGTCGACACCGTTGATGTGGCCTGCCATCGCCGCGGCCGCCTGCGCGTCCATTGCACCTGCACCAACCAAGCATGGCATTCTCGCAAAATTCACTCCTTCCGACCTGGTCAGAACTGCTCAATATCCAAGCATCCCCATAAGATACGTTGGCACAGGGTCCATGTTGATCAAAAAATAATATGGCCACTGACAGAGTCTGTGCAAGGTCATGCTTGCACAACAGCAGCAGCAGCTGCACCTGGCAAGAGCGGCAGGGTGGTGTCGTAGCGCCGCGGCCGGCCGCGCTTGCGCTGCCCGGTGCCGCCGGCCGCAGGGCCGTTAGCCGCCGTCGGCTGCTGTGCGCGCAAACCCGATGACCCCTTCTGGGCATCCACAAAGCTGCCCGCGCTGCTGTGTGAGGAGCCCGCCCGCAGCAGGGGAGCTGGCAGTTTGTCTTCCCCTGGCAGGCCGGCAGCTGCGCTCGGCACAGGTGCGTGGCAGCTGCGCGCAGAGGCATCGCCGCCGGATGGCGCGTCAGCGACGCCCAGCTCCTGGCACGCCACGTCCAGGCACATCAGCAGATCCTCCTCACTGAAGTCCGACAGCTCCGGTGTCCGCTGTGGCGGCGCAGCCAGGGAGTCACATGCGGCGCCGCCGACCGGGAAGCACCAGTCGGCGTCGCCGATACACCCTGCGTTCATGCTGTGGGGCTGCGCCTTGGCCATGCTCTGCGTTTCCTGAGTCTGTTGCTGCTGCTGCTGTTGCTGGCCCACGCGCGAGCTGGCGCTGCAGCCGCTCTCATCGCTCTCGTGCCCTGAGAAGAGTCCCTCCATGGGGTCCTGCACCCCCTCCAGAAGGCTGTCCAGGTCGAACCAGGCTGCAGGCTCCTCGCAGCCGCCACACAGGCCGCAGCCGCTGAGCTGCAGGCCCTCCCCTAGCAGCTGCTTGGCCTCCGCTTGCTGGCCGCTGTGTGTGTCGCTGCCATGCTCAAGAAGAAGCACTGGAGCTGTGGTCTGGGAACCCTGGGTACCTGTGCTCTCAGACCTGTGGTTTGCCAGCAGCGAGGCCCTCAGCGAGCCCCTGTGGGACCTGCAGCACCGGCACAGCAGGATGCTTCCCGTCGCGCGCATTACCGCGGACCGGTCTTGAGGGTATGATCTCAGCTTTGCGAGCTTGAAATCCCGCGCAGCACCCCTAGCATCGCTCTGGTGTCAGCAACCATGCAGTCCGGCACCAATCAAAAAATACTATGCATAAACAATGTTGCAGGATGCTCACAGAAAATAAAGGGAAAAAAGGACAGAGTCCCCCAGACGAACACTCACTTCCTTCTGTGGGGCGTCAGCTCTCCCATTTGCGGCTGATACGAGGCCTCAGCGGTCCCTGCCTCCAAAGCTGGGATCTCCGAGCTGCACATGCACAGCCCTGGAGTTCATGCACAGACATTAGTCCACAGCAAGAGACATCCCAAAATATTCTCCGAATGACGGCATTGGTTAACATTAAGTCAATAATATTGGACAACTCATTCCAAAATTTGTGCAGCACTGCTGTAGCACTCTAGGACGACATTGCACTGATCTCTGCAGAAATGTGTGCATTCAAATGCACCCAGCCTACAGAGCCCTTTCATTACCTGTCGTCCATAGCGCACGCAAGACACGCTTGCACCCAGGTGCATCAGAACCATAACAAATCGAGGCCTAGACGTCAAGATGGGACCTGCAGGGAGCACCAAAGGGGTGCGCGCATTCCCGACGCAGCCATAACGCTGATCCGGTGGTAAGGGTATGATCTCAGCCAAGGGTCAAATGAACCCAAGGCACCCCTTGCGCGCCCTTGCATGTCAGAATGATGCCAATGTCTGTTGGAAAATACTGCAGAACGCATCATTCTGGTTCCTCACTAAATTTTGATTCTATAACATCTCATGTGTAGCTAGGTCGCTAGAGGGATGCTGTGCAGCATCGCTCTGTACCAGGTCCATGTCGCTGACGCCAATCCAAGAGAGTATCTTTATGGGGAATCAAACAAAATTCGCCGCTGTGAAGGTACCTGAACTTGGCAGGAGAACAGTATCTGTATTGATCAGGAAACCTCTGCGATTGGAAACCCTCGGCTTTGTTCCATTGCGTCCAACACCCATCGTCTGTGACATCCTCCATTTCACCCGTCTTCAAAAGGATGAGACCTGGAGTGGCACAGATGAAGCTCAGTAACCGCACGGACAGGGCCACTCTTATCCATCTGACCCTGACAAGTCTCCAACACGGCGCCCTCCAATTGGGATGGGGCTGTTCGGACGCTAAGGTCTGATAATCACTACAAGCGATCTCAAGGATGGATTCGGCGTGTAGCATAGCCAGCACGCGGGCCTCCGTACTCACCCTAGGTGTCGGCCAAGTCAGATGGCCGTCGTATCGGCAGTTTTCTGCCCCGGAGCAACGCATAGGCCGCTCACGCGGGCGACACTACGACAGTTGCGCCGGTCGGATGAATGATAAACTTGCTGTTGAGCTTTGCCTTACTTTTTCACGTGCTTTCGCTAGCTTTCAACTAAAAGGTCCCAAAAAATCCTAGCTATAGCTCCTAGTTTGGCTTTGCCCAAGATAGTTTCAGTCAAGTTTGAGTGGGGAACTTAACGAAATCAAGGCTCAGCGTCAAATATGTGTCACTGGGTCAGGAAAGCCCTTCCCTGTTTTGCCGTTTCTTACACGTCCACTCTCTCAGTACCCATGGCAGTTTTCGATGCCTTGATGATCTCAAGAGACATTGACCATATGAGCCACCTTGTCGCAGCAAACATCAAGCAAGAATCTTTGGTGACGTGAAAGGCACCTCCGAAAATCACAGATAATTTACCAGCTCTAAGTGGGCATGAAGAATAAAACCATTGACATGCAGGGACACCAAAGCTCAGGCACGTCTGTCCTTTTGAATGGATCCAACGGATGTTTGATCAAGTATAACGTCACATGCCACCTAGCTGCTGACGTGCCTACCTGTGTGCTCAGATCAAGAACGTGAGGCTCCATTCCACGAGCACCCTCCTCGTCAGGGATGCCTCTCAAGCCTGAAACGCGCTGCGAAACGGCTGAAACGGAATGTTTACGCTCTGCATCTGTAAGCCAACCCCATCCTCATATTTGTTGCTGATATGGCTCACCAGATATGTCCACTTGAATGCCAATTGTCCCCAGTTCCTAGCTAGCTATAGCTGAAAACGGAGCGTGTGCCGCAGGGCTGTTCAGGATCCAGATTGTGGATGGGCCCCACGGCTGCTGGCTGTAATTGTCGTGGCGTACGCCGTTAGCCCCATTGTAAGCTCCTCACCCGCACTTCCAGCACTGATCAGCGCACCAACACGCCAAGCTCCACACCATACACCTCAACATTCATATATAGAAGCTTTGCACACAAGATTACCGGGGCAAAGTATGCTTTATTTTCCCTTTGCCCAAGCCCTGCCTGTCTTTTACGCATCCCTGCTATGCATGCTGTGCTCAGGTTGCAACCAGATGACCTCCATTTAGGAGGTCATCTGGTTGCTAATGGCCAGAGGAAAACAAAGTTGCTAAGTATCAGTGCTGCATGGCGGGTGCAGGACCTCATACCAGACTTCATCCCCATCCTGGGTATCCTGGATGATCTAATCCTGCTGCCGGGCCTGATCTGGCTCGCCATACATCTTATCCCCGAGGACGTGTGGCAGCACGCGCTGCAACGCGCAGAGGACGAGCCGCTGTTGCTGGCGCAGAACTGGGTGGCAGCGGTCGCGATCTTTGTCATGTGGGATGCGCTGCTGCTCTTTGCAGTCTACATGGCAGTGGTGCACTTTGGGACGCCCTTCTGGCGGCAGCGCTGGTATGTGTGGGTCAGCGTGGCTGCTGCGGTGCTCATAGCTGCCGAGGCCGGCTGGTCGGCGTACCAGCTAAGAGCGGAGAGGCGCGCTGCAGAGGCTCGGGAACAAGCGCAGGGCAATGTGAGCGCAAGCCTCTTGGCGAACGAGTCTGCAGACAGCATTGTATAGGCATCCTGCTGCTAAGTCTAGTGGATAAACGTGCTTGCAGGCCAGCTGATGCTGTGCTGTTGTGCGTGGAAGGTACTTCATGCTACGCCCCTGAAGCAGCCATTTGATTCCATTGAAAAACAAGGAAAATGGGATTTTTGGCATTTGCCTGACCAGTTTTCAAGTCACTTATGTGCTGTGCACATGTGTTTCCTTTCTTGTTTCAGTGCCAACAAGTATGCAGGAAGTATGCCTCCAAAGTAGGCCGTGTCTGAAGGGTCGTGGCTTTGTCTGTCTGTTGCTGGCTTTGCTAGATTTAAGAACATGCAGGCCTTTTTGGGGCCTTTTTATAGATGTGAATACTTTTCTCATAGGAAAGAGTAGTAGCTGCAGGTTTTGCAAGGCTTTGTTTGTGCTTTTGCCAGTGGTTATATAATACTGTGCAATTTTGTATGCCCACTGCACAGTTTTACAAGATCTTGGTGAGAGCGCTTGCAAGTACAACATGTAGTACACTGTACACATGGCATGTTGTCATGATCAGCAATCTCAGTCTTTACCTTGAGGTCCATGTGATTGACCATCATTGAGGACTCCACAGGACACTTCGTTCAGCTAAAGGCAAGAGAATTGATCTTGAGCTAGAGCTGTGACTGGCTATATAGGAATCCGGCATATATCAAGTGCTGTACTGCCACGTGGCGCCATATGGCACTTGCTATATCTTCCAAACAGGGTTTAATGGTTTGGCATGCAATGTCATTGCTGTGCCCACAATTCATATCAATCTGAATATCAGCGTCTGCTCCGCCCATGCATGATAAACACCGCGCCCTTTTGATAATAATTGCCTTGAGTTATTTTTCTCCTGCAGCCAGCTGGAGCTGGATTGGCCAATTGTGTACACATGCCATGCCACAGTGTGTTCGCCACTCTGAGTAAAATGATGGTATCATGCACAGTAAACACCTTCAAATACATGTACGTGTGAATCAGGGGTTCTACAGCTTCTCCATCGACACGCCATCTAGCTGTGATGCCTGGTCAACCTCACGTCAATCACAGCACCGCTTTTCCAGCTGCAGGTCATGACACGTGATCACATGTATTCACAAACTTTGTCTTCAGCACTCATCTACAATGTAATAAAATACACGAGGCTCCAGTAAGTTGGACATATTCTATAAAGGAGAATACTGCTGGCCCAGTCCAGGACCGCATGGGCGACTAGGAGTCCTTGTGTGACACGTTGTGTCCGACAGAGTATGGCTGAATGTTGTTCATGCTGGCCTGGGACTGGCCAATGATCCATCAGAGGCACTTGCAGAACGGTTGCAGATGGGTTTTCCAAATGTTGGGTGGTGTTAAAATAACACCGGTTTTTTTTGTCAGGAGTCAATATGTGCAGCAGGGCCGCCCAGGGCTTAGGCGCGCTCGCCACGGATGCGGCGGGCCAGCTGGATGTCCTTGGGCATGATGGTCACGCGCTTGGCGTGGATGGCAGCCAGGTTGGTGTCCTCGAACAGGCCCACCAGGTAGGCCTCAGCAGCCTCCTGCAAGGCCAGCACTGCGCTGCTCTGGAAGCGCAGATCGGTCTTGAAGTCCTGGGCGATCTCACGCACCAGGCGCTGGAAAGGCAGCTTGCGGATCAGCAGCTCCGTGCTCTTCTGGTACTTGCGGATCTCACGCAGGGCCACGGTACCAGGGCGGTATCTGCAAGCAGTGATCTTGGTTGTTGACATCGCTGCTCACAATAATCAAAGATAGCCAACGACTGCACATCGATATCAAATGTAATCTGCAAGGCTAGAGGCAGGAAGAAGTTCGTGGACAATTATTGTTGACCACGTTTGAGCAGTGCAAAGCCCAAAGCAGCTTGCAGGAAACAAATTCTGACATCAATCAAGCCCATCGCCATACAAAGGCAGTCTAGATAATGTCTCGGGAGCCTGCGATGAAGAATAGCGAGCAGATAACAAAGCACACCTGTGGGGCTTCTTCACGCCTCCGGTGGCGGGTGCAGACTTGCGAGCTGCCTTGGTGGCCAGCTGCTTGCGGGGCGCCTTTCCTCCGGTAGACTTGCGGGCGGTCTGCTTCGTGCGAGCCATTGCAACTGCTGGTTCTCAGGAATACAACAGGCTTGTCTGATGTGCTGGAGAGGAGAAAATAGCTTTTGCTTAAAAACAGGAAACTGTTGCCTTTTGAGCTGAAGCCTGTGAGGTGATAGGGAAATGCCATTGAAAAATCAAAGTTTCCGGACCGCCATTCGGCTGATGACATTACTGGCCTCTTATTGGCTGAAAGAGGCACCAGCCAATCAGAGTCCAAAGATGCACATGGTCAATCCTCAGCTTCTGAGTTCCTCCCAGACCCACATCCAGCCATAAAAAGCATGTCAATTTGCCATTCAGCCAAACATTCTCTGATTTTCACAGCTTTCAGCACTCATCCAAGCACCCAAGCAAACCTCAGCAACCATGTCTGGACGCGGCAAGGGCGGAAAGGGCCTCGGAAAGGGTGGCGCCAAGCGTCATCGCAAGGTCCTCCGTGACAACATCCAGGGTGAGGCTGCTGCTCACATCTGCCTTTTTTTCTTTCAGAATTTCTGGATGATCATGATGTCGTGTAGGAGCTGGGCTGAAGAAGTTGCTGACTTTGTCAAGAGTTTTAGTGTGCGATGTTGTTAGGCAATCACCTCGCTGTGGTCCTGTCTTAGATCTCTTCTTGTCACTTCAATCATTTAGTTTGCTTTCTCGAAACAACCTGAGGTTGAGTAGGCAGTGTGCTGCTGTGTTATGGTTGTCCTGCATCTTCACATCCCCATCAACTAAAACTCATCTGTGTGCTCCACAGGCATTACCAAGCCCGCCATCAGGCGTCTGGCTCGCCGTGGAGGCGTGAAGCGCATCAGTGGTCTCATCTACGAGGAGACCCGCGGCGTGCTCAAGGTGTTCCTTGAGAACGTGATCAGGGATGCTGTGACCTACACTGAGCACGCCCGCCGCAAGACCGTGACCGCCTTTGACGTCGTGTACGCGCTCAAGCGCCAGGGACGCACCCTGTACGGCTTCGGTGGATAGGCTGCGCTGTCCTGCAGGATCCCCAGCAACCCACAACCCAAACCGGTGTTATTTTAACACCACCACCACATTGGAAACCTTGAGCCTCTGCTGTGACATGACCTGTGATGTGAGTTGTGATTACTGTGCAATACTTACTGAGGGCATGACCATGCAGCGCTGGTTAACTCTAGCCTTAGGATAGCTTTGAGTTTGCCAATCAGAGTTCCTCCATGTCACCGGGCGCTTCTTATTTTTCATTGAGGACAGATCTTTCCTGCAGCCTGGCACATGGCTTTGGACAGAGCTGCAGACATTCCTGATCCAGATTTGCACTGCCCTTCTCATTATGAACACATTGACTGTATGTCACATGATGTGACATGAGCCCCAGCAAACGCTAACGGTCTGCATGGCGGGCAGCTTGACTTTTATGAACATGATGCTGATACTGTACAGCACATGTGTTGATCATGATCAGATGATTGTTTGAGAGCTGTAACATCGAGACTAACCCTACAGATACTGTTGACATCAAGATCCTAAGGTGTAAGATTACACAATGACTGCTTGTAAATACAGAAGGTCAACTTGCTCAGCAGGCTATGAATCCAAGGCGGAATTTGATATAGCTGAGACAGTCTGAGATGTGAGAAGGCAGGACATCAAATGTAGCAAACTGCACGTGCACAAAATCCCCATCACAGCTGTACATGTAGCCTGCTTGCGAGCTCATGTCTGGTGGCTTGAGCCACCAGTGCCCAAAGCGATTCCATATCCCAATGCATTGACTGCTGCCTCCATGCTCTGCCGCTCAAACCCAAGTCACATTCTGCAATTGTTCTATGGCGTTCTAGGGACCTGCCAGGTTTGAAACAGTGTTTGTGTTTCAATTGTTGAGTTTTGTCAGTCAGACCAATGCGTGAACAGCATTCATTACTCGGCTTGTCAGCAATCACAGGACTGCCCTCAGGGCCCACTAAACTGCTTGCAGCACACTGATAGATAGTGCCAGAACTCATTTGTTGCTTTCCATTGAAGTGGTGGTGTTAAAATAACACCGGTTTGGGGTCTGCTCAGCGGTGCCTGCAGCTGGGCTGCTTAGGCAGAGGTGAACTTGGTCACGGCCTTGGTGCCCTCAGACACGGCGTGCTTGGCCAGCTCGCCAGGCAGGATGAGGCGCACAGCGGTCTGGATCTCGCGAGAGGTCACTGTGGGCTTCTTGTTGTAGCGGGCCAGCTGGGCGGTCTCAGTGGCAATCTTCTCAAAGATGTCAGTGATGAAGGAGTTCAGGATGGAGATGGCCCTGGATGAGATACCGGTGTCGGGGTGCACCTGCAGCAGTGGCACAAAATGCCTGTCAGGTGATGCTGATTATCGTCAGATAGAGACAACTGCTCCTGGCCCTTCACAGATGCACCACAATGACAACCGACCTTCATCCTCCTTTTCCGCGACATTACAGCTATACAATTGCGCACTTTTAATTAAATATGCACGTTCTCGTACCATACAGGCCCCTATGCATTGCGATATTAATCTTTGCAATTAGCATCGCAGGAAAAGTTAACAACGTGCAGAGAGCTGTGTTTGCCATTCGAGCTTGTGAAAGATTTCTAAAGAATCATCCCAGTAGCCTCACCTGCTTCAGGACCTTGTAGATGTAGATCTTGAAGGACTCGACCTTGGCCTTGCTCTTCTTCTTGCCACCGGTCTTGGCGGTCTTGGCGACCTTTTTGGCGGGCTTCTTCTCTGCCTTGGGAGCCATGGCTGCTTGTTTGTGAGTGCGGTGAATAAAGCTTGATATTCACGAGGGCGGTGGAAGAAATTTGCTCGGTTTGAGCTGGAAATGCTGAACACAAGGTTCATATCTTGCCGGGTCACCTGACGGGCCAATCAGAGCTCAGCATTGAGGTTGTATACAACGCACGCGAGTGCTGGCCGCTGATTGGCCCGACGCAGGTCCGCAGCACTCAAGACCGATTCAGAGCAGAAGCTGCACTCAAAACGCTCTGCAGAATTCCGATTTACTCACATTCGCTCTCTTCTCAGCTTCCAAAAACCCTCAAGCGAAACATCTGCCACCATGTCTGGACGCGGCAAGGGAAAGACAGCCAAGAAGTCGGTGTCCAAGAGCACCAAGGCAGGCCTGCAGTTCCCCGTGGGCCGTATCGCCCGCTACCTCAAGAAGGGAAAGGTGTGCATGTCTGGATGTGCCTTCGCAATCGCCTGAAATCGAGTATGTGTGCCTGTCCTGAGATGTCTCTGTTGTGATGCTTTGACACTTGAGATGCTATGGCAAATATGGTGGTGCCTGTGCTTGTTACTTGTTTCTTTCGTGATTCAGCAATAATAGAAGCTTGGTCTTCGCACTGTCATCGCTAGGCTGCCCACGTCCACATCAATTTGCTCCTCATCTCAGATGGCTCTTTTGGGAGTCGAAAACTCTGCTGAATGCCGCCCCTAACATTGTGATGTTCCTGCATCGCAGTATGCCAGCCGCGTGGGTGCTGGAGCCCCTGTGTACCTGGCCGCAGTGCTGGAGTACCTGGCAGCTGAGATCCTGGAGCTGGCAGGCAACGCAGCCCGCGACAACAAGAAGACCCGCATCGTCCCCCGCCACATCCAGCTGGCTGTGCGCAACGATGAGGAGCTTAGCAAGCTGCTGAGCGGCGTCACCATCGCCTCCGGCGGTGTCCTGCCCAACATCCACTCTGTGCTGCTGCCCAAGAAGACCGCCAAGAAGGAGTAGGCACCAACAGCCGCCAGGATCTTGTACCAACCACAAACTGGTGTTATTTCAACACCACCATCAGGATGGGAAATCTTTTTCTTTTCATTTTCTTCACCTCTACAGTGAAGGTAATGATCATCATGATGGCATGGATCTCTAGAAAGACTTGACAAGCTGGAAGCAAATGTTTTTACAAGGTACAGAATCTGTACTACAGAATGTACATGCTGCACACCGCTTATGCAGTTTCAAGCTCTCACAGGTCGTAACCAATAGGGGACCATTTCGAGTCTAGAAGATCGCATTGCATCATTATTTCCTAAGCTGAAACCTTTCTTCTGCATACTTTGCACTTGAGAAACTGGTGAAACAACACATTCAATCAACGAAATGCAATAACAACCCCAATCGTCCAGCAATAGCTGAACACCTAAGATCCACCGATCAAGCACCCACGTTGCCAAGGTGTCACACGGTACGGTACCTCAGTAATTGCACATAAGCGCACACGTGCATAGCAAGCAACTTGGTGATGTATACATGTGCGTGCTCAACAAGTAAAATGTGTTTTCCATTATGAAGAAATTAGAGCCTGACGTTTAAGCAGGGTATCGGCGAGGATGCTCAGCAGCGGCGCAACAAAAGCGCTCCACGACACTGACCTCACTTACAACAACATGCGCCCACCCATCAAATCACAGGTCTAGCAAAACGCCATCGCTGCTGTACGACTGCCCACGGCCAGTCTTCCGTACCACCCTTGACAGCTGCAACCTTGGGTACTTTGTCACCCGAATGAAACAATCCCCGATGCTGCTAAACACATCATAGAGATTACCACCAAGAGGCCATCTACTTAGTGACAACCGGGGGTATGCACAGAACGTGTGTCTTGAGACATCCGCATCACAGCGTCAGCCTCGCAGTAGCAGGGTGCTCACGAAGCAACTTCTGTCGATCTTTGTCATCCATGAGATATGATGAGGCCTGATCAGGCCTCCACCAGCACACCGGGCTTGGGGGTGGCGCCAAATTTCTCGATCATGATGTCGCGCAGGTAGGGGAGCAGCACAGACTCGTCGCACGCAATGCCCTTCTCGAATTGGGATGCCAGCTGTGGGTTCTCCCCGATGGTGCCCCCCAGAAAGACACGCACGCCCTCTGTCGCCTTGCCGTTCAGCTTTGCCGGCCCGCCCATCAGGCCGATGTCCGCCACTTGCACCTGCGCGCATGCACCTCCATGCTCAACGCAATTTATTATCACAGGTCGGCAAATACGAAGCCGAAGGCCATAGGGCACTACACGCAAGGCGTCTGCAGCCACGTCTGCGGGGCCTATAAAAGTCTGGAGCCTAGTGTTGTATCACATCTTATTGGAGCAATGCTGACACACAATAGTAACAGACGATCATATCAACTGCAAGGTACTCTTGCGGAGTTCTGCATCACGCTGGCTGCGAGGGCCTCGACTGGCTTCAGATGGCAGTCACACTGTGCAAGGCAGGTTGCAGTGCATGGATTCATAGGTTGAGGCTGTGAAGTGTGGCTGTACTTGAAGCCCTTGGCAGAGACGATATCGAGTATAGCTGCGACCCCGGAATCCGGAGTGGGCCTCTAAGAGGTTCACTGCATGCAAATGGCACAAATTTGACCAAAAAAATGGCGAAGAGGCTGCAGGGGCGCTGACCTGGCCGCAGGAGTTGGGGCAGCCGGTCCAGTGGATGCGGATCTTCTTGGGGAAGTCCAGCTGCTGCTCCAGCTTCTCCACAACAGCCATCGCGCGGTTCTTCGTCTCGATCACAGCCAGCCCGCAGAACTGCACACGGCCCATACATGCACACCCGTCATTCAATGCTGCCGCAACAGTTGATTGCTGCCAGTTTTCTGTGCCATATCAGCCTTGACAGGAACGCTGCTGGACCTCAGAGGGCTTGCACCTTTGAACATAGCAGCTGGCAGTTGCATGGCATGAAAAGGTGGCCGGTTCTAATCTGGCTGAGCCATTAGGAAGACTGGCAGCACTTTCAGAGTGCTCGAGAATGTCATGACCATGACAACACTGTGTGACGGGTACAACTCCTTCAGTTGATGCGACAGGCTTGGTGGCCTGCTTACCACCAGCATCATGCTGCCAGCATGCTCGCCGCTGCACAAAATTGGCTAACTTATTCCATGGTCCGATGATTGACAGCCAGAGATCATGATGCATGCACACCTGGGCGCCGGTGCAGGAGACGAGGCCGCGAGTGAGGTTGCCGGCATCGATCTTGTACTTTTGGAAGATGGGCTCCTTCTTCATCTCCTCTACCTTGTCATTGGGAATGAAGGGAAAGAGGACGTCCTGCTCCACTGTCATCCGCAGAGTGCCGTCGCCGTACCTGTTTCAGACCATTATCACTGCCAGGTCAGCACCACTGACTCACTCTGACTAATAAGCTATTCATGAGAAAAACAACATGGTCTCCAATTTCAAGAGTGTCTTGGATCCAGGAACGACCAGCAATACAAGCATCATAATTTTCCAGTGTGCACAGTCGTGGTGTTTCCTCCGTCTAGAGAGATTCCAGTGAAGTGCAGAGGCCTGACAGGCAATTTGCATGCGTCGCCATGACTGATGAGCAGACTGGAAATCGGTTTCCAGTGGAGACGTAGCAAGCGCACAGCTGTCTGGTGGAGAGTGGGAGGACGCATTGCATGTATGCTGTATGACCTCGAGCTTTGGGTTTGCCTTGGGGTAACATCAGCGATAAATTTAGTAATGATATTATAAGGATCTGTAGAGGGGAGCTGGCGCACGTGTCGGCGACGCGCGCGAATTCGTAGAAATCGTCGGCAAAGAATCGGCCGGTGGGGATGCATGCGCCAACCCATGAGAAGCCCTCCTGCTTCTGCGGGTGCACGCCCAACACGTCCCGCCTCTCCCACACATCGTCATACTGCGCACACACCCCCACACAAAATTAGCACAGTGATCCACTGCGCCTATTGAGGGAACACTCCCCGATTGCGTTATCACGTGGCCTTCCATCTAGAAGCCATCTGGTTACTAATGACCACAGGAGCACATGGAAGACATCCTCGGCACCCTGAGCAAGACCTGCCAGAGGGCTGTAGTGTGCTGCAAGCTACAGCAGCCTCTGTCAATGCACTGCATGCACAGGAGAATCTCCTGGTTGAGTGGCCAAGCGCTAAGAGCTTGTAGATGGTGCTAGGACATCACCAGGCAGGCCAGTGCACAGGGCATCGCGAGCCAGCAATCAAGTGGAATTTTTCGCGGTGAGGCATGAGAAGCTGAGTCACCTTTTCCTCCACGGCGGTGCGCAGGGTCACTCCACCCATCCGTGCGCCCACCATCTCCCGGAACTTGTCTGCGCCCCAATCCTCCACCAGCCACATCAGCCGCGCCTTCTGCCTGTCCTCGCGCCCACCATAGTCCCTGCATTCCCCATCCCGCACATGCTTGATTGTCTGCTCTGGTCCAAGCATAGTCAAGCCAAGAACATCTGGTGCACCTGCCGTGATAATCGCACATCGGGAGCGGCAAAGAGCAAGTGTCTTGACAGTATGGACTGGCCCACAAACATGGCCCGGACGGCTTCGTATTGGGCTTTGCATGCATATATGAATAGTTTGTTTCTGGCCCCCTTTATCAAGAGGGATCCTGGTAGCTTTGCAAGGAAGGGGAAATTGGCGGTGAACACCTGAAGACCTCGAGGAGGGCTTTGCAGTAAGCGACGACCTGGTCCCTGGCCACAAAGGTGTTGCCATCGATGGACATTGTGTTGCGCTTGACGCTGAAGTAGCCGCCCAGCTCCACATTGAAGCCCACCTGCGCGCACATGCCCGCACAAGTTCACCCCATGCTCCCTTGACACACCTTTGCTGACCATTACAATTTCAGCAGCCCTTTGCATGCACTTGAGCTGACACTGATACCGAAAGTGACGCCTGATCAAAGTTTTGATGAATTGACGGTGTGCACGAGCCTCTCTGGCTCCTAATTCCATGCAGTGTGCCACTGCAAGCATATAATAAGGCAGGCTTGTCATCAGTCATATTTACAGGAAGCTGTGTGCTTCAGCAGATGGGTGATGCATGCAAAAATGCAGTGCAGACAAAGGGCTCCTCACCTCGCCGGTTTCAGGGTCATGCACGGCTTTGAGGCCCACGTCGTTGATGTGAGTGTGGGGAAAGTCGTCCCGGGAGGGCGACAGCCCAATGTTGATTTTGCGTGGCAGGTTGACCAGCTCCTCATTGCCCTTGCCAAAGTTTGTGATCATGTCATTGATCTCTGCACACACCCATATAATGAATAATTGAGTGGCCCCAGTTACACGCAAGATATGTATAGATATTAGCCGGCAAAGTAAAAAGTCTGAATGTGATCTGACATGCACTAAGAAGATAGCTAATTTGGGTTGTATATGCAATGCCACCATGCAGGGAAGTTAAAGTACTGCGCCTCCAGGTTGTTCTTGTACAGGAACAAATATAATGCACATAGGATGCATGTGAACTGAGAAGCAAGTACATCTGAGACTACATTCACACGAGGCAGCCGGTTGCACACCGTAGTTGAGCTGCCTCACGTCGATGAGCTCATGGGGGTCAATGCCGGCAATGGGGCTGCCAGTCATGTTGCGCACGTTGTCCATTCCAGTCTGCACTGCGCTCAGCCCCACCGATGTCAAGCCCTGCGCCACAAGCATACAAAACCACTCTCAAGATCCCTCTCAAACCGCTGCACTTGCGACCAGCACCAGTCCTCACCCATCAGACACTGCCACGCGACAAGACAAGCCGCATGCAACGTTCCCCAATTAGCAATTCTCCATCCAGTCCTTCTGTTGCTGCGGCCCTGCTCCATGAGAGCCTGTAAGAACTGGTGCAAACAGGGGGCCTTGCCCTGTCCAGCAGGAAGTCATTTGTCTGGCCAGAAGCACAGGTGGCAAGTAGTGACCGAGCCGGGCACACCTTTGCGTCCGGCATTTCCTACCAGGTGCTTTCGTGTTCAGCAGATCAAGCTGGCACCTTATGTCCAGTTATTTCACAAATTGTGGACAATGCAGCAGTGAGAGGCCGCACCTCGAAGATGGCGGCTGAGTCAGTGAGGTCCATGCCTCGCAGCTGGATGTTGGCGCGTGTGGTGATGTCTGCGCAGCCCTTCTCGCCCAAATTCACAATCTGGTCCCCCAGGAACCGCAGCTGCTTTGAGGTCAACTCCCCATTGGGCACCTGCCCACAACCCAAACCCCATGAGAACATTGCAGACACATCTGAGGATGAAACAGTTGCAGGAGTGTCTCTCTCTTGTTATTAGTCCACCCAAATCGGATGATGGCAGTACTAACAAGCCAGAAAGCAAGCCAGAGGGGAGGAGCTGTCCCATGTTAATTTGCAAACACACGTCCGTGTGATCTCCACTCAAAGGATATGCAGGTTTGTATATTCACTTTAATAGGAGCTACACTGGAAGCCACACTCTAGCAACCTCATCCAAACATTGAGATCCTTCAAGGAATGCCGTCTATTTTGCTGCCATCAGTCTCTGTGCCTTCAATCTGTTGAAAATCACGACAGCAAGAATAGCATGCCATAGAGCAAAGCACAGGGCAGCAGCTGTCCAATGTATATTCGGAAATTGGCACAGAACAGTGGGCACACCTTGAGGCGCATCATGAAGGTGCCGGGGGCGCGCTTCCTCCTGTGGAACATGCCGGACCACTTGAGACGCACGTCAATGTCGTCCAAGTCCAGATCCTCCCATTTGGTCTCCCCCTTTCTGTGCAAGCGCAACAGCAGCCCGAAAGCTCAGTAACACAGCCAGATATTGCTTGAGGTCGGATGGGCGAGATGGTATGCATTGTCAGTGATGTTGGCTACAGGTGAAACAATCAATGCATACACCACAGCTGTGGCCAAGGACTCGTTTGAAGCCTCCAGTGCATGGTCTGGTCGTGCCTGATGGGCATGCATAGACCAGAAATTACGAGAATTCAGCTGCTGCTGAGATGGGCAATCAGTGAAGAGAGCAATGCACACCTGATTAGCTCGGCCAGCTCTGTGACCTCCGTCCACATTTTGTGGCCGCCTTTCTGGGCCTTGATCCCCTCCGCCTTGTTCTTCTTTGCAACAGCCAGCGACCGCAGCTGCGCCCGCAGGAAGCTCATACTCGGTCATTGTCAACTTGTAGAGATAGCGCGACTACGGTGCATGTATGCCCCATTGCAAGCTTGAACACGTTTAAACAGCATGAAAAGTGTGATTAGCGAGGCATGCATGCAAAATAGAGGAGCCAGAGACTCACCCTGGCTTCGTTAGTTAGAAACTTTAGGCCGCTGGTCTCGAAATCAATGCTTCGCTCTTCCAGGATTGCCTTGACCTCATCCGACAAGGGGGGGACCTCGGCTGCTGGCCACCTGCATGACAGAACCTCCTTCTTCGTCATTCTCAGTCATGCTAGATCTTCATGGGATCATGATTGCACAACTCATTCCATGAGTTTGCAGCAGACACAGTGGCAGATCAAGCAGGCAAGCAAGCTCGCGGAGACTTGAAGCTGCACGGCAGTGTGCATGGTGCAAGGTGCATAGTGCTGCAGATGGCGAGCACGAAGCCTACCTGCTAGCTCCATTGCTGGAGGCTCCGTTGCTGGAGGCTCCATTGGTGGAGGCACCGTTGGATGAGGTCAAGGTTGCTGACGCAGAGCAGCGCAGGGCTGATGCTCTGGAAGGCGCAGCAGTCCTGTTGGGGAGAGGTAGGCGTAGCCCCAGTGCATGAGGACTTGTGAGATTGAACGAAAGCATCTGGAGAGCCGCCTTCCCTTCCTTGACTCTTCAAACCTGCACGAACATTTATGCAATAAGGCAAGTCCCAAGAGCACTTGTTGGGAGCCCTAACTCTGCGACACTGGACTCCTGGATCCAAATAATGGAAAGCTATGCTTACAGAAGTTTGCAGCAGATATCAATTTGTTAAAGGAAACGAGTTTTTCATGTTGTGCATTCAACAAACTGAAGACATCCATCAGGCTCTCATCAAATAGCAGGGGCTGCAAGGTCTACACGAAGCGGAACTAACACAATCTCACGTATGTATAAATCTGATCACGAATCTCAAGAAGAGGAGGGGCGATTCAGTGTGTTGGACGATAGCCTCGTTCCTCGTAGAGGTGGGCCCTTTTGCCCTACCTGGGTTTTGGGAGCGCTGTCTGGCTTGTGGCGGTGACTCTGGGACGCGGGGACGCTGCACTTACACCGCTTGGATCAGATTTCAATTTCGACGATAAATTGTTGTCGATCGCTCACAGAACAAACCTGGTGCACGGAATTGGAGGGCTGGTCGAGAAGGGCCGGGAATCATGTGGGTCCCCGTGCGAAATGGGACCTTTACTAAACATTCCGTAAAATGGGGCTCTTTGGCCTGGCGAGGGCTCGGGGAAAATCTGGACGAATGGACGAATGTCTCAAAGGAGCTGGAGCGATCAGGAAGGGGATGTGATGCAGTAGAGTGTGTGGGTCAGTGCGCATGGCTCCAGCAGCAATAATGGGCAACGACGTCCGGGGCAGTATCGGAACAAACGGCTTTGCCCACAACGAATATCTTTCTGCAGCTGTTACCGGTACGGATTTTCATCGAGATCAATACCCTGTTTGAATTACCATGCAAAGCTTCGACGCCTTGCAGCGATTGTATTGCGCTGTCGGTCACTGCGCATTCGACAGCTCGTTTGAAGTTTCTGGGGTGAAGCCCACAGGATTCCTCGATCACTGCCATTACTGCTTGGTGCACAAAGCAACAGGGATTCATATGTGTGGACGATAGGATCTCCGGCATCTCCGCCATTGAGGAGCAGAGTAAAGCTCTTGGATCTGCGCTTGGCCATGCCCGATGCACGTGCAGGGAAGCTGCTGAGTTCTGCAGACCTACTTCTAGTGCCACAAGACAGCACGCAGATTAAGAGTCAGGACTCTGGGGAGACATGCCAGGTCAAAGCATTGAAGGCAAATTGGACGCAATTGACTGCAGGATAGGGCTTCCACATGAGCTTGAAGTACAGCGCCTGGCGCTGTCCAATGATCCTGGCTACTTCTGCTTGACGTAACACATTAATAACCCAGCAGCAGCGTCGCAGGCGTGCAATGCTCTAGACCCCCTGCTTGAGCAGGGTGCAGCCACCTTTTCACTCCGAGCAGCTGCATAGGTCATGGCGCTTCAGCTAGTCTCAGTAAGATCGGATCAACACATGGTGGCACACATTAGCAACAACATGAGCATGCTGATGCGCAGGTATTCGCGACGACGGTGCACCAGAGGACCCCACATTGGCGCCCGGGACAGCTGACTGGACGCTGCACGAGCCGGTGTCAGAGATCGACCCCAAAGATGCGGCCACGCCAGATGCATGGGTGCCGCGGCACCCGGGCCTCATCCGCCTCACCGGCAGGTTTGCACCTGCTCAGAACCTGGCATTTTCTGAGACCAGGCGGGATTTGGAGAAGTTGGGTTCCATCTAGAACTGGTTCTCCAGCTTTCCTTATCCCTTAGCTCGGTGCCAAAGCCCCCACGCAGGGCAGTCGTGCATGATGGCAGCCTCGACCCATCTCTTGATGCAAGCGCAGCTTCTCAGGATGGATTCCCTCGTCGGAGTGAGCCTGCCTGATCAGTGGGCTCCCATCTGTCTTGCCACCAGCAGAAGATTCTTGAGGATGAGGATTGTAAAGTGTCATCAAGGGATACTAAGGATTCACCTTTTACACATCATGATCTAAGCTTCCAAGGCCCCTGATAGTGCTTCTCACTGGGCCTGGTTTCCCATGCAGGCACCCCTTAAATGTGGAGCCAACCCCCACAGCGCTGATGAAGTATGGGTTCATCACCCCGGCTTCCCTGCACTACGTGCGCAACCACGGCCCAGTGCCCAAGATCCAATGGGCGCAGCACCGACTGCAGATCAACGGCCTGGTAGACAGGCCCACCACCTTCACAATGGACGAGCTGCTCAGCACCTTTGAGCATGTGGACGTTCTCTGCACCCTCACCTGTGCCGGCAACCGGCGAAAGGCACGCCCACAATTGGACCTCAGCCCTCAAGGAATGACCCCTAGCAATGGAGCTTCTGCCGCCCATGTGTTGACTGAAATATGACCCAGATCTGGTTTTAGTGACGTACAAAGAAGCCTCTGCAGAGCTGCCTGGCCGCCTATTTGTCAATTATGGATCGGCCCACCCAGAGGTCAAACTGGTGCTTCAGAGTCCAATGGATTGCACTTGTGTCGGCTGAAATGAAGTCCAGAGTTTAGGGGGTGCAAAGCAGTCCCTGCACAGATTCCATGCAAACCCCATCTGCTAAGTAAAGATCCATACTACTATATTTGCTCTCATATATGTAGAGAAAGCGCGGATTGAGATGCATATTCACTGTTTTAGATAGAGGGAAAATAGGAGCTCTGGGCATGACTGTGATGGACAACCCTGAAGCTTATTGGGGCGATGCAGAGTGCTGACATGTGCCCTGCGCATGCCCTGCCGCAGGAGCAGAACATGGTGGCCAAGACAATTGGCTTCAACTGGGGCCCGGCTGGCACCAGCACAGGGATGTGGACGGGGGTGCGGCTGGCCGATGTGCTGCACCACTGCAGCATCAAAGGCGCTGAGCAGGCGGCCAACTATGTGTGCTTCCGAGGGCCCAAGAACGAGCTCCCGCAGGGTGAGTTCAAGGGGCCTTTACTCCAAAAGAGCACCTCTGAATCCCATGTCTGAATGATCCTCTTACGCGTTGCTGCGTATCACTGCCTTGTCAACAAGGCAACATCTATTTCTTCAGGCAATGGGTCAAATGACAACTGCACCTGCACAGCCTGTTAATGTCGCAGGAACGCGCTGTCAGGAAGAAGCTCATGCTTCAGTTTATAACGCATTGCTCCAGGGTCATCAATGAGGACTGTCCAGCACTACTACTGTACACTGCTCGATGTTGCATGGCTTGTGAAGACAGCGTCAGCCAATTAGTTGGCACGCCAAAGGCGGCTGCCATTTCCTCAGACAAGCTTGGTTGTTACCTGCAGCCCAAAAGCAGCTGTACTGCTAGCAGGGCACATGCTGGATCATAAGAGTCCTGGCAAAAGGCTTCACGAGCAAATTTAGAGGGTGCTCAGATCATTAACAAGGTCTATTCATCACATCCTGGCTGTGGCTGCAGGCAAGGACGGCAGCTATGGGACGAGCGTGGAGAGGTACAAGGCGCTGGACCCGGCCTCAGACATCATTCTGGCATTCAAGCAGAACGGCCGCCTGCTGACGCCCGACCACGGCTACCCCCTGCGCATCATTATCCCAGGTGCCCCTTCCTGGCAGCTTCCCTGCAGCTGCAGTGCAGCTTCATGGATCCTTCAATCTACCTCCTCGCTGCTGCTGCAGCTGCACCCGCATGGGATCAGCACTCCTGGCATCACTGATCAGGGCAGCAGCTGCAAGCACAGGGCTTGTAGCTGTGAGACTAGGTGCTCAGATGAACACATAAGTTACTGGAATTTGGAAATGTAAAGTGGCGCGGGGTGTAACGTGCAGGGTACATTGGCGGGCGGATGGTGAAGTGGATAGAGGAGATCACAGTCACAGAGGCGGAGAGCGACAACTTTTACCATTTCCATGACAACCGCGTGCTTCCCTCCCACGTCACCGAAGTCCTCGCCAAGAAAGAAGGTGCGCCGCTGCGCGTTGCCACATTTATTCCAGTATTGCGCACACTTGCCATGCATGTAATTCTTGATCGGCATGCCCTGCCGTATTCTGTCTCGTACCTCGGCTGGGTGGCATTCCCAAATGACAAAGCTGCGCACAGGTCATTTGATGCTGTGCTATGCACGGCCACCTATCAGCTGATTGACTGTCTACTGTGGCATGCCTCTATCATGCTGCAGGAGCCTATTGCAAACTCTTGCAACAGGCTCCTGAACTGAATTGAACTGAACTGAACTGAACTGAACTGAACTGAACTGAACTGTGGAAGCAGCAGACGCAGATATTGAAACTTAACATCTGGGTGATTGGGTGCAGGCTGGTGGTACAAGCCGGACTTCATCATCAATGACATAAATATCAACTCGGCCATCACTTCGCCCGCGCATGACGAGTTCGTCCTGCTGCCGGGCCGCAACTCCTTCTTCACCGTCTGCGGCTACGCCTACTCAGGTCAGCTCTCCTCTTACTGTGCCAATTTGAGCCAAATGAACTCCACAGCACTTGTCCTCATGCTGGCCTGCAGCCTGCCCTGAGCATGCACCAATAATATCTGTTTCCAAGCTCATACTGCTAAAAAGCAGCATTGCAATCTTTTCGCAGCGCTGGTGACTTGAGAACGCTTATTTAGCAGGGCAGGCACGCCCAAGCATCCAGCAAAAATCAATGCTATGCTCTCCCTCATGGGTGGATGAATGCTGGCTGCACAACCCTTTCAAGGGGCATGCATCTGGTGCTGAATTGCAATAATTGACTCATCAGGTGCGGGGCGCAAGATAATCCGATGCGAGGTGACATTGGACGGCGGCAAGACCTGGCGGCTGGGGGAAATACGCCGTGCTGGGCCGCCCAACGCATACGGCAAGCACTGGGCCTGGGTGCACTGGAGCCTGCGCGTCCCCCTGCGTGAGTCATTGCTTAGTCAGCGTTGCTGCTCAGTTACTGCTCAGTCAGCGCTGATGCTTTAATTACTGCTTAGTCAGCGGTGGTGCTGAGGCATGGGAGACTAGTGCCTGCACATCTGTTTGTGTTCCAGAATGGCTCATTGTCTCTGGGGCAGACTCCTGCAGGCTTGCACAAATATCTGTCTTTTGGGGCCGGGTTTCACTTGTGAAATTGCAATGAGTGCTTGGTGGTCGAAATTGCCTGAAGTTGGGGTCATCCATTGGTTTGAAGAGAAGTCTATTTGAAGAGAAAATGTCTTTTGCAGTGGATCTGCTGAGGACGGATGAGGTGGTTTGCCGGGCGTGGGACGAGGCGATGAACACGCAGCCGGACTCCTTCACCTGGAACCTCATGGGCATGCTCAACAACTGCCACTACCGAGTCAAGGTCCGCGCTCACCATTTCTTGTCCACCCATCTGCATATCATCTTGCACTTCCTATAACTTTGGGCTTCCTATTCCTATCACAATCTTTCCAGCATCATGGGAGCATGAACAGGCATCATACAAAAAGGACGCAGTCATTGCCAATCTGGAGGAGGTTGCTGGGAGTTCTTATGCAGGCACCCATTGCAGGAGGATAGAGCATTTCCATCAGGTTGAGACACTTAACTCATCAGGCGGAGTTGACTGGGATGCATGACACAGGTGCACCCAGTGGAGCTGCAGGACAATGGAATGGCGCTGCAATTTGAGCACCCCACCATCGCAGGCGTCACTGCTGGCGGCTGGATGAACCGCGTCGAAAACACTGTCCAGGTGAGTCTTTCTGCAGGCGTCCTCGAAAGCTGTGCCTTTTTGCATGCTGGATGTTCAATTGTGTCCACTGCATATCCGGTTCTCTGGTGAGAAGTGCAGCAATGTGGGCCTTGACCCGGGCTCCTTGCAGCTGTCTGAAGCTACTTGTGTTGTGATCCACTGCTACTTCCTGTATGCTCTCTGCGGACCTGTTGCTGGACAGGTACTTAGTGCAATGTAAAGCTGCACACAGCTTTGTGCTTGGCCCTGAGGAGCTCCTCCAAAATAAGGACCTTTTCAGGAAAAGCTTTCAAACATTGTGCGCTGTTCGGTGGCGCAGGAGGCGAAGGAGGTGCCAGAGCCGGCGGAGGCTCAGGCGGTGCCCAAGGGTGGAGAGGCGACGACCTTCAGCATGGAGGAGGTTGAGAAGCATGACACCAGGGAGTCCGCCTGGTTCGTGCACGCGGGGCAGGTGCGCGCATGCTGCCTGTCACCTGATATTTCAAATCTTGAGGGGAAGCCCTGCTTTCAATAACATCTGGGGAGCGGGCACGCGAGATGAAGAAATGTTGTTGAAATATGAAGGTGCTGCAAGATGTAGAAGCTGCATGCAAAGTTGGCGTCAGAAATTTCATTTATTTCTGTCAAGTGAGTTTGGTGTGAGGCAGCATGCAGAGGCATCATGAATCATTTCAATGAGAAAATGCCGTCACGCTTGCATGGCAACTCAAATGTGCTGAATCTTTCGGGGTCAAGCTGAAGAAGGTGTATTTCAAGGGTGCTGTAGGGTTTAAAGGGGCAAGAATGGAATACTCTGCTGATCTGTGCAGGTGTACGATGGGACGCCGTTCCTGAAGGACCATCCGGGCGGCGCAGACAGCATTCTGCTGGTGGCGGGCACGGACGCAACAGAGGAATTCAACGCGATCCACTCAGAGAAGGCCAAGAAGCAGCTGCTGCAGTATCAAATTGGCAAACTCGCCTCCTCTGCTCCCCCAGGTCTGCAAACCATATCCTTGACTCAACTTCAGCTAACAGCGCACCAGTTGTTTGCCGCTTCTAGTTGTGAATTTCAGGAGTAGCCTGCGAGGCGCCCTAAGCAAGCCGTTGTTTACTCTTGCCTGAACTGGGCCTGTTGGCAGTCCTTATAGTCATGGTCGGTTGCACACCGCATTCAAAATACTGAGTCTGTGTACTGCGATCCTGCACATTGCCAGACTTTACCAAGCTCTTTCATCTGAGCTCCTGGCGAAGCAAGCCGTTGCACACTGGAGCCTCAGAGGGCCTAGGGGCGGTTCTTTCATACAGTACCTGTCTCTATATAGCAATGCATGCAAGATCACGTTTGATATGGGAAGCTTTGTCTTAACGCAACACTTCCTGTGGCTTGCAGTGGAGCTTGGCAAGGCGCCGCTGGTGCCGGCAGTGCCAGAGCAGACAGTGCCGGTGGCGCTCAATCCAAAGAAGCGGCTCAAGTTCAAGCTGGTGCAGAAGGAGGAGCTGAGCCACAACGTGCGCCGCTTCCGTTTCGCGCTGCCCTCGCCGCAGCACAAGTTTGGCCTGCCCGTCGGCAAGCACGTCTTCCTCTACGCAGAGTGCGTCCCCCACCCCCTGAGTTGCACTCCTTTCACCGGTCCAGGCATCTGCAGGGGCTTGGCAAGGGCGTACCGCCCGCCCTTGCCCTACACAGGGGCTGGCCTCAGATTGTCTGGAACCCCTTTCAAACCCTGCTACTGTCAGAAATGTTGTCACACCGGCTCTTGAGTCCAGAACTAAAAATGAAATTGCTGAATTTTACTCGAATTTTGCGTGAGCTTCCCAAGCGAGCAGCACGCTGCCTGCCGCATTGCTGACATGTAGCACCAGAAGGATGAGCAACTTTTTTGCTGATTCGGCATGCTGGCAATTTTTGTAGCATGTAGATTGAAGTTATTGAAGTGTAAACATGGTGCAGTGTGGCCGGGGAGCTGGTGATGCGCGCGTACACACCGACCTCATCAGATGACGAGCTGGGCTACTTTGATCTTGTCATCAAGGTGCCGCTCTCGCCCCTGACGTGCATATATCAGACTGCCATTTTGAACAGATGCTTGCCATGCAAGCATGCAACCAGTGATTGAGCTCCAGGTCTTGAATTTCGGGCATGTCCTGGATTGCCACTCGAACGCCGTTCTTGCCAGCAATGCACCTGCAAGCAGCTTCTGAACAATTGCCTTTCATGCAAACACAGGATTCATACTGGTCTGATCATCTGCCCTGAAATTTGACGCATCCTTAAATTATCTTGGACACATTTGATTACATTAATGACGGCAAATTTCTATGTGCATGGTAGCCAACAAGTGCTGAGTCACAGTTGAAATTTCTCGCATTCTGGAAGGATAGTGGGCCGTGTTATTCATCGTGACATTTAGTCCCTGTGTGTTGCGCGCACAGGTGTACTGGAAGAACGAGCACCCGCGCTTCCCTGAGGGCGGCAAGATGAGTCAGTGCTTAGAAGCGCTGCCCATCGGAGGGGAGATGGAGGTCAAGGGGCCCCTCGGCCACATGCACTACCTCGGCCGTAACAGGTGTAATTCCTGCTTGTCCTGCTTGACTTTGCATCAGAATGGCTGTGGATGCTTAGCTGTTACATGCCCCGATGCAGAGCACAGCAGCTGCGTCTGTGCTTACCAATCTTAAGTGAGAGAGGACATGTGGTTGGGTTTGCACAAAAGTTGATGGCTTTTACAGAATAGTGTTCGGTTGATCGTCAGCTCACAGGTGTTGCATGATGGGTCTCTCTTCCGAAATGGCAATCATGATGGACACCCTGGATGGTGTTTGTAATGTCTTGTCTGGGGCTGAGCAGGTATACTCTGGAGGGCGAGGCGCGCACAGCCAAGCACTTCTCCATGATCGCCGGCGGCACAGGCATCACGCCCTGCTACCAGGCACGACCCTGCCCCTCTCCTCTGCTCCCTTTCTATTGCTCACTAAATATATGTCAGATTCTTTGAATACCTCCCGTACGCGTCTGTGCTTGGCCCCATGACCTGACTGATGCACTGGGCATGCCCTGCGCAAGTTTAGTGCTGCGCCAGTCAATCGCATTGTGGGGGTAGGCCGTTGTGTGGTTTGTTGCACATCAGGCCGAGCCTGCATGTTTCTGAGAGGGAGGATATTGCTGTGCCTTGCGCAAGCACAGTGTCGACTAATCAGATGTACTTCTAATACTCGTTTATTGAAAAGGTTCCCGCAGGGCATATTCCACGCTCACAAGTTATTACTATATGTTCCCGCAACCCCAATATTGGCCCACCTTACTTATGAAATTTTGCATTTTGGGCTGCAACCTAGACATTTTGTGAGCGGCAATCTCCATCGCTGTGCCAATGCCACCTGTGGAAAGGCAAAAACACCCATTATAAAAAAATTGTGCACGGCAGGTTATCAAGGCGGTGTTGAAGGATGCGGAGGATGATACGCAGCTGTCACTGCTGTACGCCAACCAGAGCCCCGACGATATCCTGCTCTTCGACGAGCTGCAGCAGATGGCCAAAGACCCGCGCTTGAAAGTGTGGTACACAGGTGCGGCCGCCATGCAATCCCTGAAACTAGACCCGGCTGTCATGTGATGCATGCATGGTCTACAAGGGTTGCTGCGGAGTGCCTGGAGCCCCTTGCATGCTGTCAGGGGTCACATGTCAACATGTCAACAGGATGCACCACCATCAACTCTTGACATGTTTGCAGTTTTTCATTCAATCACATATTCACAGCAAGCTATCTGTTTCTGTTTCCTCCTTGGCGCTCGTAAAAGCTTATGAAGGCTTCAGTGACACTCCATTTTATATTGGCATTGGGCAGCTTGTCTGCAGAACGTACCCTGCCTTTTGGCAGGAAATGCCTGTATCAATAATAACTGGGCATCTGGAGCATGAGGTGATGAGAGCTGTGTCTGGTGCACAGTGGACCGAGTGCCGGATGGCGTGAAGTGGGCCTACAGCACCGGCTTTGTGAGCGAGGAGATGGTGCGGGAACATCTGTTTCCGGCCGGCCCCGAGACGGCCGCGCTGCTGTGTGGCCCACCGCCCATGATCAAGTTTGCATGCATGCCCAACCTGGACAAGCTGTGCTACAAGGCAGAGGACTGCATCTGCTTTTAGGCGGCGGCAGCAGCAGCAGCAGCAGCAGCAGCAGCAGCAGCAGCAGGGTCCGACATCTCAGGGGCATCCACCCTGGGATTAGGCTTATCAGGGAGTACTGAAGACCACCCCTGGGCGTCAGTATAGGTAATTGTTAGTAACCCCTGACTCAGAGCTCAGAGCCTATGCTTCTCTGGTCTGAGACGGGGTTCTGGTCCGCCCCTGGTTGCCAGTCAAAGCGTTGAGGCCCTGTCGAACCCTGCAGCAGCATGCGCGGCAGCTGAAGGGAAGCAAGTTGTACGGTACAACTTGTACGTACGGTATACCAATAAGGTCACAGGGCGTGCGGGCGATGAATGATTGGGGTGGATTAGAGCTCCAAGAGGCATGGAGCCCCTGGTGTTTGTGGAATATTTCGAGGTGTGAGCACAGCCTCGCTGAGCAGTGCCAAGAGGAGCTCCTGCCGCACAGAGACACTTGTCTAGGAACTTCAGCAGTGGCAGCTGCAGCCAGGCAGACACCGCTGCAACCGAGATTTGTGACAGGTTTATTGTGAAAGAGCATCGATACTGGTTGGGATCAAATTGCTTAATCAGGTTACTGGGTCTTCGATGAGCATCGTGGTCTTGACTCCTTAGCAATCAGTGTCATAGAAAATCGCATCGTGAGTTCACAATATGGTTTTCTGTTATGATCATCTGGTAGAGTACTCACTAGTGTCATAACTCAGCTTACAAACAGTGCTGCTTGCAGATAGATAGACAATCCTGTTTGCTGCATGAACTTTCCTTATCAACCTAAATTGAGACTCCGCAATTCAAGTCTGAGCTGCAAACATGTCCTATATGGTTGTAGTTGTGAGGACTGAAAATTCATGCAGAAGATGATCTTAATATATTTGTTCGCCCACGCAAGCACTCTGCAACTGAGGTGCAGCAGCACTGGTGCTGAATAATGTACACTTGGTAGTCCACCAATGGTAGACCCAAGTTTTTGGGTTGTAGGTACAGGGATGTAATCAATCTGAACAGCCATCACGGCCATCACCCAACATGATGTACATTGTTGACCATAATCTGAGGGTCTCTGTTGTGGTGACGTAAGCAACTGCAGGAACAGCTTTCCATCCTAATGGTGGTGTTGAAATAACACCAGTTTGTGGTTGGGACAGTGTCCTCCAGAAAGCGGGCAGCTGTTGCTGCCTACTCCTTCTTGGCGGTCTTCTTGGGCAGCAGCACAGAGTGGATGTTGGGCAGGACACCGCCGGAGGCGATGGTGACGCCGCTCAGCAGCTTGCTCAGCTCCTCATCGTTGCGCACAGCCAGCTGGATGTGGCGGGGGACGATGCGGGTCTTCTTGTTGTCGCGGGCAGCGTTGCCTGCCAGCTCCAGGATCTCAGCTGCCAGGTACTCCAGCACTGCGGCCAGGTACACAGGGGCTCCAGCACCCACGCGGCTGGCATACTGCGATGCAGGAACATCACAATGTTAGGGGCGGCATTCAGCAGAGTTTTCGACTCCCAAAAGAGCCATCTGAGATGAGGAGCAAATTGATGTGGACGTGGGCAGCCTAGCGATGACAGTGCGAAGACCAAGCTTCTATTATTGCTGAATCACGAAAGAAACAAGTAACAAGCACAGGCACCACCATATTTGCCATAGCATCTCAAGTGTCAAAGCATCACAACAGAGACATCTCAGGACAGGCACACATACTCGATTTCAGGCGATTGCGAAGGCACATCCAGACATGCACACCTTTCCCTTCTTGAGGTAGCGGGCGATACGGCCCACGGGGAACTGCAGGCCTGCCTTGGTGCTCTTGGACACCGACTTCTTGGCTGTCTTTCCCTTGCCGCGTCCAGACATGGTGGCAGATGTTTCGCTTGAGGGTTTTTGGAAGCTGAGAAGAGAGCGAATGTGAGTAAATCGGAATTCTGCAGAGCGTTTTGAGTGCAGCTTCTGCTCTGAATCGGTCTTGAGTGCTGCGGACCTGCGTCGGGCCAATCAGCGGCCAGCACTCGCGTGCGTTGTATACAACCTCAATGCTGAGCTCTGATTGGCCCGTCAGGTGACCCGGCAAGATATGAACCTTGTGTTCAGCATTTCCAGCTCAAACCGAGCAAATTTCTTCCACCGCCCTCGTGAATATCAAGCTTTATTCACCGCACTCACAAACAAGCAGCCATGGCTCCCAAGGCAGAGAAGAAGCCCGCCAAAAAGGTCGCCAAGACCGCCAAGACCGGTGGCAAGAAGAAGAGCAAGGCCAAGGTCGAGTCCTTCAAGATCTACATCTACAAGGTCCTGAAGCAGGTGAGGCTACTGGGATGATTCTTTAGAAATCTTTCACAAGCTCGAATGGCAAACACAGCTCTCTGCACGTTGTTAACTTTTCCTGCGATGCTAATTGCAAAGATTAATATCGCAATGCATAGGGGCCTGTATGGTACGAGAACGTGCATATTTAATTAAAAGTGCGCAATTGTATAGCTGTAATGTCGCGGAAAAGGAGGATGAAGGTCGGTTGTCATTGTGGTGCATCTGTGAAGGGCCAGGAGCAGTTGTCTCTATCTGACGATAATCAGCATCACCTGACAGGCATTTTGTGCCACTGCTGCAGGTGCACCCCGACACCGGTATCTCATCCAGGGCCATCTCCATCCTGAACTCCTTCATCACTGACATCTTTGAGAAGATTGCCACTGAGACCGCCCAGCTGGCCCGCTACAACAAGAAGCCCACAGTGACCTCTCGCGAGATCCAGACCGCTGTGCGCCTCATCCTGCCTGGCGAGCTGGCCAAGCACGCCGTGTCTGAGGGCACCAAGGCCGTGACCAAGTTCACCTCTGCCTAAGCAGCCCAGCTGCAGGCACCGCTGAGCAGACCCCAAACCGGTGTTATTTTAACACCACCACTTCAATGGAAAGCAACAAATGAGTTCTGGCACTATCTATCAGTGTGCTGCAAGCAGTTTAGTGGGCCCTGAGGGCAGTCCTGTGATTGCTGACAAGCCGAGTAATGAATGCTGTTCACGCATTGGTCTGACTGACAAAACTCAACAATTGAAACACAAACACTGTTTCAAACCTGGCAGGTCCCTAGAACGCCATAGAACAATTGCAGAATGTGACTTGGGTTTGAGCGGCAGAGCATGGAGGCAGCAGTCAATGCATTGGGATATGGAATCGCTTTGGGCACTGGTGGCTCAAGCCACCAGACATGAGCTCGCAAGCAGGCTACATGTACAGCTGTGATGGGGATTTTGTGCACGTGCAGTTTGCTACATTTGATGTCCTGCCTTCTCACATCTCAGACTGTCTCAGCTATATCAAATTCCGCCTTGGATTCATAGCCTGCTGAGCAAGTTGACCTTCTGTATTTACAAGCAGTCATTGTGTAATCTTACACCTTAGGATCTTGATGTCAACAGTATCTGTAGGGTTAGTCTCGATGTTACAGCTCTCAAACAATCATCTGATCATGATCAACACATGTGCTGTACAGTATCAGCATCATGTTCATAAAAGTCAAGCTGCCCGCCATGCAGACCGTTAGCGTTTGCTGGGGCTCATGTCACATCATGTGACATACAGTCAATGTGTTCATAATGAGAAGGGCAGTGCAAATCTGGATCAGGAATGTCTGCAGCTCTGTCCAAAGCCATGTGCCAGGCTGCAGGAAAGATCTGTCCTCAATGAAAAATAAGAAGCGCCCGGTGACATGGAGGAACTCTGATTGGCAAACTCAAAGCTATCCTAAGGCTAGAGTTAACCAGCGCTGCATGGTCATGCCCTCAGTAAGTATTGCACAGTAATCACAACTCACATCACAGGTCATGTCACAGCAGAGGCTCAAGGTTTCCAATGTGGTGGTGGTGTTAAAATAACACCGGTTTGGGTTGTGGGTTGCTGGGGATCCTGCAGGACAGCGCAGCCTATCCACCGAAGCCGTACAGGGTGCGTCCCTGGCGCTTGAGCGCGTACACGACGTCAAAGGCGGTCACGGTCTTGCGGCGGGCGTGCTCAGTGTAGGTCACAGCATCCCTGATCACGTTCTCAAGGAACACCTTGAGCACGCCGCGGGTCTCCTCGTAGATGAGACCACTGATGCGCTTCACGCCTCCACGGCGAGCCAGACGCCTGATGGCGGGCTTGGTAATGCCTGTGGAGCACACAGATGAGTTTTAGTTGATGGGGATGTGAAGATGCAGGACAACCATAACACAGCAGCACACTGCCTACTCAACCTCAGGTTGTTTCGAGAAAGCAAACTAAATGATTGAAGTGACAAGAAGAGATCTAAGACAGGACCACAGCGAGGTGATTGCCTAACAACATCGCACACTAAAACTCTTGACAAAGTCAGCAACTTCTTCAGCCCAGCTCCTACACGACATCATGATCATCCAGAAATTCTGAAAGAAAAAAAGGCAGATGTGAGCAGCAGCCTCACCCTGGATGTTGTCACGGAGGACCTTGCGATGACGCTTGGCGCCACCCTTTCCGAGGCCCTTTCCGCCCTTGCCGCGTCCAGACATGGTTGCTGAGGTTTGCTTGGGTGCTTGGATGAGTGCTGAAAGCTGTGAAAATCAGAGAATGTTTGGCTGAATGGCAAATTGACATGCTTTTTATGGCTGGATGTGGGTCTGGGAGGAACTCAGAAGCTGAGGATTGACCATGTGCATCTTTGGACTCTGATTGGCTGGTGCCTCTTTCAGCCAATAAGAGGCCAGTAATGTCATCAGCCGAATGGCGGTCCGGAAACTTTGATTTTTCAATGGCATTTCCCTATCACCTCACAGGCTTCAGCTCAAAAGGCAACAGTTTCCTGTTTTTAAGCAAAAGCTATTTTCTCCTCTCCAGCACATCAGACAAGCCTGTTGTATTCCTGAGAACCAGCAGTTGCAATGGCTCGCACGAAGCAGACCGCCCGCAAGTCTACCGGAGGAAAGGCGCCCCGCAAGCAGCTGGCCACCAAGGCAGCTCGCAAGTCTGCACCCGCCACCGGAGGCGTGAAGAAGCC